TGCGTCGTATCAAGGCAGAAACGGAGAGGGGAGAAGAGAAAAAACACTTCATTGGCATTGGAAGCACGGACAATTATTACGTCAGAAAAAGATAATTCTTTAAACGGCAACAGAGCGTTTTACCGTGTTATCATATCAAACTCTTGCTACAAATCGTGTCAAAAATTTTCCTTAATGTCAATGACAATGCATATACGTCTTATTTGAGAACTTGTTGCCAGTGACAATAATGTATATGTATGTATGTGTGCGTCAAAAGTATTGTTTTATTTTCATAAAACAAAATAAAATTTATTGTGTATGCTAATATTTTAATTAACATATTATATTTGAATTATATAAATATCAACAACTGATTTTATATTTTATATTGAGTTTTTTTACTTTTTATTCTAAAATTCTATAATTTATATTTTAATATTTTCAATAAATCAATAGAGAAAATGTACGGGATAACATATTCTGAAATAATTATTGAAAAAATAATACGAAAAAAAAGGATAACATATTCAATGTATATGAAAGGATAAATTGTATTTATATGTTTTATTTTTGAAAGTACGAAAATTGATATGACTAATGTAACAGAATCACTTTATTTGTTTTCGTACGTAAAGTTATTTTCTTTCTTTTCCATTATTTAATCGTTCTCGCAATATGATATTATATTGTAACAAAGCAACATTATATTTTCTATCATAAACAACAATCCAATCAAAAGTTTCATCAATATTGAAACTTTGAGATATCTCTCAAAAAATGTAGTCATTCATAACAAATTAATTGCAAAAGTATTGCAAATATATAAATGATAAATTATATCTAACTGATAACCACAATCAAAATCCCTGAAACGTACATAAAAAAAAAGTATTAAACACTATCTAATGACTGTAACTACATTAATTATTTTATATGAGTGATAAATAACATCGTTAAAATTATTTAAAATTAAATATTTTCATTTTTTCTAAATATTAATTTTAAAACTTTTAAAGAGAATTAAAAATATGCCGCAATCATAGCGCACCTGCTATTAATTGTAAAAAAATGAAAATGTTTTATATAATACTAAACATTTCCATAAAAAAATAACTAAATTTACAATCTATATATTAATAAAAAGACTTTAAAAACAAATACTCTTAGTAATGAATCTTTTCAGAAATACATAGATTGATGATTTAACAAAAGTATATTCTAATATTTTAATTAAAGATAGAACATATTATGATTGTTTTTGAAGATGTTGTGAAATAAGATATACAGTCAAAATTTCAGAATTCTGAGTCGTACACATAAAAATTAAAAATTTGCACAATAGATTTTACATAAAACTTGTTCAGAGAATTTTTGAAAACTCCAATTTATTTTTAAAATAAAATTAAAACAAATATTAAAAATTAAAAATAAAAAATAAAATTTAGATAAGATATGAAAAAATTTAGAAAGATATGATAAATTACAGAAAATATCTTCAATAAAGAACATATTCTTCTTTATATACAACAATTATTGTATAAGAATATATACAATAAACATACTTACTATCTCTCCCTTTATTCGTTGCTCTTTAGTAATGAATAAAAGTTATTTAAATTTTTAAACAACGGTTCATATATATAATCAAGTTGAGTTTGTACAAGTCACGCTATTCATCTTAATATTTAGTCTTCTCACTTCTCATTAGCAACACAATAATATAATGCGAAATAAAATAAGTAATATTAAGCACTTGACGTTTGAATTGGTGATAATAAATCTTACAGACGTTTATCAGTTCTAAAAATAATGATTTACACATACGTGTAACATATGCAAAAATAAAAGTATAATAACAAAAAATCATCTGAACACAGCTATATCGTATAACATTCCAGTTTATTACGTCTTTCTCTTCTCTAAACTGATCCAAAATCCGCCCACAGGTTTCAACGCAAACTCTCTTTTATCAAACACGACAGGTTCAACAGTCTTCTCCGTGGTCTTAAGAATGAATTTTTGTAAGAGACGAGCTATCAGAAGCTTTGTTTCCATGAGAACGAACCGATTACCGATACACTTTCTAGGCCCATGTCCGAACGGCAAGTAAGTGCACGGGAGAATGTTGTCCTTATTTTCATCACTAAAGCGTTCGGGATCGAACTTTTGTGGATTCGGAAAGTACTTTGGATCGTGATGCAAGCCATAAACCGGTATTATCATCGCGTCATTCGATTTAACGATTATGCTCTTGTAACCTGGTTGTGATGGCGGTAATTCATAATCTCTGACGCAAAGTCTATCAATGGAAGGTGCCGGTGGATACTTTCGAAGAGTTTCAGAAATCACCATGTCCATGTAAACCATTTTCGACAGTGATTCATAAGAAATCGTATCGTTTTCTTCACTAAGATGCTGCTCCACTTCCTCACGCAGGCGATCTTGGATATCACGATTAACAGCCAGCTCGTGAGCGACGAAACACATGAGCGTAGCGGATGTGTCGAAACCGGCAAAGAAAAAGATGAAAGCTTGTGAAACAATATCATCCAATGTCATCTTGTGAGAACTTTCCTTGTCGCGAGCTTGCATTAATAAGTGAATCATATCTGGCCTGATGATACCGTGTTTTTCTCGAGCTTCGATCGTTTCTCCGACAATGGTTTTGAAGAATTTCGACGTGGCCGATGGAAAAAGGGACAAACCGATCAATTTGCTAACTCGCGGGTAGAAACGTAAAAACATGATCTTGAGCATAACCAGTATTCCACCGAAAAGTGAGGCCTCCACACCTCTTGTGTAGAATTCATTGTTTTGATCCTTCATAGAATTCACATTTATGCCGAAAGCCGCCGTGGCAATCACGTCGTTGGTGTATCGTCGAAAGGCCTGTTTCGCTTCAATGGAGAGACAAATTTCCGGATGCTCAACCAGATAATCAACAAAGTCGGACGAACATTTCGATATCAGTTCGAACATAAATTTCATCTTGCTGGCGGTAAAAGAAGGGCTCAATGTGTTCCTCATTTCTTTCCAGCGGTCACCGCGCAAGGCAAAAACATTTTTACAGAATAGTGGTTCCACTTCTTCGTCAACGAAAATGCGATGATCCGGAAAATGTTCAAAACTTTTTACCGTAATGTCCTTTATAATTTCGGGATCGCGCAGAAGTATAGCAGGACCGCCAAATTCCGATATTCCAACATACTTAGCGTCCGGAAAGTAATTGTATATATAATTACTGTAATCAACAATGCTTAAGTGACCCGTGAACAGTTTCCAACCGGCTATGAAAGACGACCATGAATCTGGCAGGTAAGGAATGCCCTTCTTCTTCCAGGTAAAGTATGCAAGATTCACGTAAGGCACAATCTTCACAATGCCGATTAGAAATAAAGTAGTCAATAACAGCGCAAAAGGTGACAAAAATAGCTGAGGTAACTCCATCATGATGCCGTGATAACGAACAGACGACTGCTTTCGGACGAGAAGTAAAACGTAATAAATACAGACGTGTATACTCGCTAGTGCGCATCATATCAAGGCAGAAACGAAGAGGGGAGAAGAGCAAAAACACTTCATTGGCATTGGAAGCACGGACGATTATTACGTAAGAGGAAGATTACTCTTTAAACGTGGGCAACAGAGCGTTTTACATTGCCATCATATCAAAAACTCTTGCTATAAGTCATATAAAAAATTTTTTTTAATGTAAATGACAATGCATATACGCCTTATTTAAAAACTGACTGTCAGTGATAATAATGCATATGTTGTGTGTGCGTCAAAAGTACGGTTATATTTTCATAAAACAAAATAGAATTTATATTTGTGTATGCTCATATTTTAATTTACATATTATATTTGAACTATATAAATATCAACAACCGATTTTATATTTTATTTTAAGTTTTTTACTTTTTATTCTAAAGTTCTAATATTTATATTTTAAGATTTTCAATAAACCAATAGAGAAAATATGCGGGACAACATATTAATAATAATTATTGAAAAAATTGATAAAATTTAATGTATATGAAAGGATAAACTGTATAGATATGTTTTATTTTTGTAAATTCAAAAAATCATATGACTAATGTAGCAACATCACTTTATTTGTTTTCGTACGTAAAGTTATTTTCTTTCTCTTCCATTATTTTATCGTTCTCGCAATATGATATTATTTTGTAACAAAGCAACATTATATTTCCTATCATAAACAACAATCTAATAAAGTTTCATCAGTATTGATACTTTAGGATATATCTCAAAAAAACGTAGTAATTGATAACAAATTAATTGCAAAAATATTGCAAATGTATAAATAATAAATTATATGTAACTAATAGCCAATCTCTGAAACGTACGGAGGGAAAGAAATATTAAACACTTTTAAAAATTGTAAACACTTTTAATAATTGTTATTAAGTATTTTATATGATTGATAGATTACATCGCCAAAATTATTTATTTTTAAATATTTTAATTTTTTCTAAATATTAATTTTATAGCTTTTAAAAATAATTAAAAATATTAAAAATATGCTACAATCGTAACGTACCTACTATTAATTGTAAAAAAATAAATATGTTTTATATATTACTAAACATTACAATAAAAAAAATAACTAAATTTGCAATCTATATATTAATAAAAGGATTTTAAAGACAAATGCTGTTAGTAATAAGTCTTTTCATAAATACATAAATTGATAATTTAAAAAAGTATATTCTAATATTTTAATTAAAGTTACGTAAAAGTCAAACATATCCTGACTATTTTTGGAAATGTTTTGAATTAAGATATGCTGTCAAAATTTTAAAATTCTGAGTCGTACACATAAGAATTAAAAATTCGAACAATAAATTTTACATAAACCTTGTTCAGAGAATTTCAGAAACTTCCAATTTATTTTTGAAATAAAATAAAACAAATTTTAAAAGTGAAAAATAAAAATAAAAAAATTTAGATAAGATATGGTTAAACACAGTAAGATATGATAAAATACAAAAGATATCTTCAATAATAAACATATTCTTTTTTATATACAACAATTATTGTATAACAATATGCACAATAAACGTATTTACTATCTCTCCCTTTATTCGTTGCTCTTTAGCAACAAATAAAAGTTATTTAAGTTTTTAAACAACGATTCATATAATCAAGTTGAGTTTTTACAAGTCACGACATTCATCTTTTTATAATATTTTTATAATATTTAGTCTTCTCACTAATCATTACCAACTCAATAATATAATGCGGAATAGAATAATATTAACCACTTGACGTTTGAATTGATGATAATAAATCTTATAGACGTTTATCAGTTCTAAAAATAATGATTCACACATACGTGTGACATATGCAAAAATAAAAGTATAATAACAAAAAATCATCTGAATACAGATATATCGTATAACATTCCAGTTTTTTACGTCTTTCTCTTCTCTAAACTGATCCAAAATCCGCCCACAGGTTTCAACGCAAACTCTTTCTTATCAAACACGACAGGTTCAACAGTCTTCTCCGTGGTCTTGAGAATAAATTTTCGTAAGAGATGAGCTATCAAAAGCTTTGTTTCCATGAGAGCGAACCGATTACCGATACATTTTCTAGGCCCATGTCCGAATGGCAAGTAAGTGTACGGAAAAATGTTGTCCTTATTTTCGTCGCTAAACCGTTCGGGATCGAACTTTTGTGGATTCGGAAAGTACTTTGGATCGTGATGCAAGCCATAAACAGGTATCATTATCACCTCATTCGATTTGACGGTTACGCTCTTGTAACCTGGTTGTGACGGCGGTAATTCATAATCCTTGACGCAAAGCCTGTCAAGGGTAGGTGCCGGTGGATACTTTCTAAGAGCCTCAGAGACCACCATGTCCATGTAAACCATTTTCGACAGTGATTCGTAAGAAATCGTGTCGTTTTCTTCACTAAGATGCTGCTCCACTTCCTCACGCAGACGATCTTGGATATCACGATTAACAGCTAGCTCGTGAGCGACGAAACACATGAGCGTCGCGGATGATTCGAAACCGGCAAAGAAAAAGATAAAAGCTTGTGAAACAATATCATCCAATGTCATCTTGCGAGAACTTTCCTTGTCGCGAGCCTGCATTAATAAGTGAATCATATCCGGTCTGATGATACCGTGTTTTTCTCGAGTTTCGATCGTTTCTCCGACAACCTTTTTGAAGAATTTTGACGTGGCCGATGGGAAAAAAGACAAACCAATCAAACTACCAAGTCGCGGGAAGAAACGTAAGAACATGAACTTGAGCATAACCAGAAATCCACTGGAAAATGTGGTGGCCTCCGCACCTCTTGTATAGAATTCATTGTTTTGCTCCTTCATCGAATTCACATTTATGCCAAAAGCCGCCGTAGCAATCACGTCGTTGGTGTATCGTCGAAAGGCCTGCTTCGTTTCTATGGCAAGACAAATTTCCGGATGCTCCACCAGATAACTGACGAAGTCGGACGAACATTTCGATATCAGCTCGAACATAAATTTCATCTTGCTGGCGGTGAAACAAGGGCTCAATGTGTTTCTCATTTCTTTCCAGCGGTCGCCGCGCAGGGAAAAAATGTTCTTAGCAAATAGTGGTTCCACTTCTTCGTCAACGAAACTGCGATGATCCGGAAAATGTTCAAAATCTTTCACCGTGATGTCCTTTATCAATTCGGGATCGCGCAAAAGTAGAACAGGCGTGGCAAATTCCGATATTCCAACATACTTAGCGTCCGAAAAGTAATTGTACATATAATTACTGTAATCAACAATGCTCATGTGACCCGTGAACAGTTTCCAACCGGCTATAAAAGACGACCATGAATCTGGCAGGTAAGGAATGCCTTTCTTCTTCCAGTAAAAATACGCAAGATTCACGTAAGGCACAATCTTCACAATGCCGATTAAAAGTAAAGTATTCAATAATAGCGCAAATGGCGACGAAAATATCTGAGATAACTCCATTATGATGTCGTGATAATGAATAGACGACTGGTTTCGGACGAGACGTAGAACGTAATAAATACAGATGCGTACAATCGCCAGTGCGCATCTTATCAAGGCAGAAACGAAGAGGGGAGAAGAGCAAAAACACTTCATTGGCATTAAAAGCATGGACGATTATTGCGTCAGAGAGAATTAATCATTCTTGCGCAACGTGCGCAACAGTCATTTAAACGTGTATCAAGTGTATCAAACTCTTGCTATAAGTCGTATAAAAAATTTTTCTTAATGTCAATGACAATGCATATACGCTTTATTTAAAAATTGACTGTGAGTGATAATAATGTATATGTATGTGTGTGCGACACTAGGATTGTTTTATTTTCATAAAACAAAATAGAATTTATATTTGTGTATGCACATATTTTAATTTACACATTATATTTAAACTATATAAACATCAACAACCAATTTTATATTTTATTTTGGTTTTTTATTTTTAATTCTACAATTCTAAAATTTATATTTTAATATTTTCAATAAAACAATAAAGAAAATATACGAGACAACATATTCTTAAGTAAATATTGAAAAAATAATAGTAAAAAAAAATAAAATATTCAATATATATAAAAGAATAAATTGTATTTATATATTTAGTTTTTGTAAATTCAAGAATTGATATGACTAATGAAACAACATCACTTTATTTGTTTTCGTGACGTAAAATTATTTACTTTCTTTTTCATTGTTTTATCGTTCTCGCAATATGATATAATATTATGACAAAGCAACATTATATTTTCTATCATAAACAACAATCTAATCAAAAGTTTCATCAGTATTGAAACTTTAAGATATCTCTTAAAAAATATAGCAATTGATAATAAACTAATTGCAAAAATATTGCAAGTAATGGGTGATAAATCATATCTAACTGATAGCCAATCTCTGAAAACGTACAAAAAAAATAAAAATTAAACAATACTTTAATAATTGTAACTATATTAATTATTATTTATATAATTAATAGATAACATCGCCAAAATTATTTACTTTTAAACATTTTAATTTTTTTTAAATATTGATCTTAAAATCTTTAAAGACAATTAAAAATACGCTGCAATCATAGCACATTGCTTCTGCTATCAGTTGTAAAAAGATAAAAATATTTTATATACTACTAAACACTTCAATACAAAAATAACTAAATCTGTAATCTATATAATAATAAAAAGGATAAAATGACAAATGCTTTTATTAATAAATCTTTTCATAAATACACAGATTAAAGATCTAAAAAAGTGTATTCTAAATATTTTAATTAAATTTATGTAAAGATCGAACATATTCGAACTGTTTTTGGAGATGTTGTGAATTAAGATATGCAATCAAAATTTTAGAATTCTGACTCGTAAACGAAACAACTAAAAATTAGAACAATAGATTTTATAAAACTTGTTCAGAGAATTTTGGAAACAATTAATTTTAAAATAAAATTAAAACAAATCTTACAAGTTCAAAATAAAAATAAAGAAATTTAAATAACATATGATTAAATTTAGTTAGATATGACGAAATACTAAAAATATCTTCAATAATAAACAATCATTTTTTATATACAAGTATTATAAAAAAGAAAAAGCATAATAAACATATTTTCTATGTAATGCGTAATAGAAATAGTAATATTAATAACTTGACGTTTGAGTTGGTGATAATAAACCTTATAGACGTTTATCAGAGTTCTGAAAATATAGATTACATATGCGAAGACATACATGTCTGGAACGTCCGCAAAATTAAAAGTGTAATAACAAAAAATCTTCTAAACACAGCTACATCGTATAATAATATTTCTTTTATTACGTTTTTCTTTTCTCTAAACCAATCCAAAATCCGCCCACAGGTTTCAACGTAAACTCTTTTTTATCAAACACGACAGGTTCAACAGTCTTCTCCGTGGTCTTAATAATAAATTTTCGCAAGAGATGTGCTATCAAAAGCTTTGTCTCCATGAGAGCGAACCGATTACCGATACACTTTCTAGGCCCATGTCCGAACGGCAAGTAAGTGTACGGAAAAATATTGTCCTTATTTTCGTCGCTAAACCGTTCGGGATCGAACTTTTGTGGATTCGGAAAGTACTTTGGATCGTGATGCAAGCTATAAACAGGTATCATCACCAAAGAATTCGATTCGACAGTTGCGTTCTTATAACCTGGCTGGGACGGCGGTAATTCATAATTCTTGACGCAAAGCCTGTCAATAAGAAGTGCCGGTGGATACTTTCTGAGAGTCTCAGAAACCACCATGTCCATGTAAAACATTTTCGACAGCGATTCGTAAGAAATCGTATCGTTTTCTTCACTAAAATGCTGATCCACTTCCTCACGCAAGCGATCTTGGATGTCACGATTAACAGCCAGCTCGTGAGCAATGAAACACATCAGTGTCGCGGATGTGTCGAAGCCGGCTAAGAAGAAGATGAAAGCTTGTGAAACAATATCATCCAATGTCATCTTGTGAGAATTTTCCTTGTCGAGAGCCTGCATTAATAAGTGAATCATATCCGGCCTGATGATACCGTGTTTCTCTCGAGCTTCAATCGTTTCTCCGACAATCTTTTTGAAGAATTTTGACGTGGCCGATGGGAAAAAGGACAAACCGATCAAATTGCTAACTCGCGGGAAGAAACGTAAAAACATGATCTTGAGCATAGCCAGTATTCCACCGAAAAATGCGGTTGCCTCCACACCTCTTGTGTAGAATTCATTGTTTTGCTCCTTCATCGAATTCACATCTATGCCGAAAGCTGCCGTCGCAATCACGTCATTGGTGTATCGTCGAAAGACCTGTTTCGTCTCAATGGTAAGACAAATTTCCGGATGCTCAACCAGATAATCGACAAAGTCGGATGAACATTTCGATATCAATTCATATATAAATTTCATCTTGCTGGCGGTAAAAGAAGGGCTCAACGTGTTTCTCATTTCCTTCCAGCGGTCGCCGCGCAGAGAAAAAACGTTCTTACCGAATAGTGGATCCACTTCTTCGGTAACAAAACTGCGATGATCCGGAAAGTGTTCAAAATCTTTCACCATGATGTCTTTTATCAATTCGGGATCGCGCAGAAGTATGCCAGGCGTGGAAAATTCCATCATTCCAACATACTTAGCGTCCGGAAAATAATTGTATATATAACGACTGTAATCAACAAAGCTTATACGACCCATAAACAGTTTCCAACCCACTATGGAAGAAGACCACGAATCCGGCAGGTAAGGAACGCCTTTCTTCCTCCAGTAAGAGTACGCATGATTCACGGAAGACACAATCTTTACGACGCCGATCAGAATTAAAGTAGTCAATAACAGTCCAAAAGGTGACGAAAATATCTGAGCTAACTCCATTATGATGCCGTGATAATGAACAGACGACTGGTTTCGGACGAGACGTAAAACGTAATAAATACAAATGTGTACACTCACTAATGCACATCTTATCAAGGCAGAAACGAAGAGGGGAGAGGAGCAAAAATACTTCATTGACATTGGAGGCATAGAAGATTATTGCATCAGTGAATGAGTTAGTCATTTTAAAGGTGCTCAAAAGCACCTTTTATCGCGTCTTCATATCACGCGTATAACACTCTTGCTATAAGTCGTATAAAAAATTTTCCTTAATGTCAATACATATACGCCTTATTTGAAAAGTGATTGATAACGTACATGTATGTGTGCGTCAAAAGTATTGTTTTATTTTCATAAAACAAAATAAAATTTATTCTTGTCTATGCTCGTATTTTAATTTACATATTATATTTGAATTATATAAGCATCATCAATCGGTTTTATATTTTATCTTTGGTTTTTTACTTTTTATTCTAAAATTTATATTTTAATATTTTCAATAAATCAATAAAGAAAATGTACGAAACAACATATTCTTAAATAATTATGTAAAAAATAATAGTAAAAAAAAAAAATAAAATATTCTACGCACATAAAAAGATAAACTAAATTTATATATTTTATTTATAAAATCAAAAATTGATATAACTAATGTAACAACATTTCTATGTTTCTGTATTGTAGTAACAAAAAGTTATTTTCTTTTTTTCCATTATTTTATCGTCCTCGTAATATGATATTATAATGCAACAAAAACAACATTATATTTCCTATTATAAACGACAATGTAATCAGAAGTTTCATCAGTATTGAAACTTTCAGATATCTCCCAAAAAATGTAATCATTGATAACAAATTAATTGCAAAAGTATTGCAAATATATAGAAAGCAAATTATATCTAATTGTCAATCTCTCTGATAGTCAATTTCTGAAACGTACAAAAGAAAAAAAGTATTAAGCACTATTTTAATAAATGTAACTGCATTAATTATTTTATATGATTGATAAATAACATTGATAGATAACATTATCAAAATTATTTATTTTTAAATATTTCAATTTTTTCTAAATATTAATTTTAAAGCTTTTAAGGACAACTAAAAATATGCTGCAATCATAACGCATCTACTAATAATTGTAAAAAAATTAAAATGTTTTATAAATTACTACATATTTCAATAAAAAAATAACTAATTTTGTAATCTATATATTAATAAAAGAGCTTCAAAAACAAATGTTCTTAATAATAAATCTTTTCATAAATACATAGATTGATAATTTAAAAAAGTATATTTTAATATTTTAATTAAAATTATTAATTAAAGTAAAGATCAAACATATTCTGAGTGTTTTTGGAGATGTTGTCAAATAAGATATGCAGTCAAAATTTTAGAATTCTGAGTCGTACACATAACAATTAAAAATTCAAACAATAGATTTTACATAAAACTTGTTCAGAAAATTTTAAAAAAATTTAAAAAATTTTAAAAGATAAAATAAAAAAATAAAAAAATTTGGATAAAATATGATTAAATTCAGAAAGATATGATAAATCACAGAAGATATTTTCAATAATGAACATATTCTTTTTTATATACAATTATTATATAAGAATATGTACAATTAACGTATTTACTATATCTCCCTTTATTCGTTGCTCTTTAGCAACAAATAAAAGTAATTTTCGTTTTTAAACAACGGTTCATATAATCAAGTTGAGTTTATAGAAGTCACGACATTCATCTTAATATTTAGTCTCATTCCTCATTAGCAATTCAATAATATTATTATATAATACGTAATAGAATAAGTAATATTAATCACTTGATGTTTGAGTTGGTAATAATAAATCTCAAACAGATATTTATCAGTTCCAAAAATTAAAATTTACACATACGTGGAACGTCTGCAAAATGAAAAGTGTAATAACAAAAAATCTTCTAAACGCAACTATGTTGTATACATTCCAGATTTTTAAATCTTTCTTTTCTCTAAACCGATCCAAAATCCGCCCATAGGTTTCAACGCAAACTCTTTTTTATCAAACACGACAGGTTCAACAGTCTTCTCCGTGGTCTTGAGAATGAATTTTCGTAAGAGATTAGCTATCAAAAGCTTTGTTTCCATGAGAGCGAACCGATTACCGATACACTTTCTAGGCCCATGTCCGAAAGGCAAGTAAGTGTACGGAAAAATGTTGTCCTTATTTTCATCGCTAAACCGTTCGGGATCAAACTTTTGTGGATTCGGAAAGTACTTTGGATCGTGATGCAAGCCATAAATAGATATCATCATCACGTCATTCGATTTGACGATTACGCTCTTGTAACCTGGTTGTGACGGTGGCAATTCATAATCTTTGACGCAAAGCCTATCAGTGGTAGGTGACGGTGGATACTTTCTAAGAGCCTCAGAGACCACCATGTCCATGTAAGCCATTTTCGACAGTGATTCGTAAGAAATCGTGTCGTTTTCTTCACTAAGATGCTGCTCCACTTCCTCACGCAGGCGATCTTGGATATCACGATTAACAGCTAGCTCGTGAGCGACGAAACACATGAGCGTCGCGGATGATTCGAAACCGGCAAAGAAAAATATAAAAGCTTGTGAAACAATATCATCCAATGTCATCTTGCGAAAACTTTCCTTGTCGCGAGCCTGCATTAATAAGTGAATCATATCTGGCCTGATAATACCGTGTTTTTCTCGAGTTTCGATCGTTTCTCCGACAACCTTTTTGAAGAATTTTGACGTGGCCGATGGGAAAAAAGACAAACCGATCAAACTGCCAAGTCGCGGAAAGAAACGTAAGAACACAAACTTGAGCATAACCAGAAATCCACTGGAAAATGTGGTTGCCTCCGCACCTCTTGTGTAGAATTCATTGTTTTGCTCCTTCATCGAATTCACATTTATACCGAAAGCCGCCGTAGCAATTACGTCGTTGGTGTATCGTCGAAAAGCCTGTTTCGTCTCAATGGCGAGACAAATTTCGGGATGCTCGACCAGATAATCAACAAAGTCAAATGAACATTTCGATACCAGCTCGAACATAAATTTCATCTTGCTGGCGGTGAAGGAAGGGCTCAACGTGTTCCTCATTTCTTTCCAACGGTCGCCGCGCAGAGAAAAAACGTTCTTCCCAAATAGTGGATCCAATTCTTCGTCAACAAAACTGCGATGATCCGGAAAATGTTCAAAATCTTTCACCGTGATGTCCTTTATCAATTCGGGATCGCGCAGAAGTATGGTAGGTGTGGCAAAATCCGACATTCCAACATACTTAGCGTCCGGAAAGTAATTGTATAAATAATTAGTGTAATCAGCCAAACTCATGCGACCCATGAACAGTTTCCAACCGGCTATAAAAGACGACCATGAATCTGGCAGGTAAGGAATGCCCTTCTTCTTCCAGTAAAAGTACGCAAGATTCACGTAAGGCACAACCTTCACAACGCCTATTAGAAATAAAGTAGTCAATAACAGCGCAAAAGATGATGAAAATAGCTGAGGTAACTCCACCATGATGTCGTGATAATGAACAGACGACTGCTTTCGGACGAGAAGTAAAACGTAATAAATACAGACGTGTATACTCGCTAGTGCGCATCTTATCAAGGCAGAAACAAAGAGGGGAGAAGAGCAAAAACACTTCATTGACATTAAAAGCATGGAAGGTTATAGCGTCAGAGAGAGTTAATCATTTTGAGCGTGCGCAACAGAGCCTTTTAAACATGTATCAAGTGTATCAAACTCTTGCTATAAATCGTATAAAAAATTTTCCTTAATGTCAATGACAATGCATATATACGCATTATTTAAAAATTAACTGTCAGTGATAATATATATATGTGGGTGCGTCAATAGGATTGTTTTATTTTCATAAAACAAAATAGAAGTTATATTTGTGTATGCTCATATTTTAATTTACACATTATATTTAAACTATATAAACATCAACAACCGATTTTATAATTTATTTTGGGTTTATTATTTTTAATTCTACAATTCTAAAATTTTTATTTGAATATTTTCAGTAAAACAATAAAGAAAATATACGGGACAACATATTCTTAAGTAATTATTGAAAAAATAATAGTTAAAAAAAGGATGAAATATTTAATATATATAAAAGGATAAATTTTGTATTTATATATTTAATTTTTGTAAGTTCAAAAATTATGACTAATGTAACAACATCACCTTATTTGTTTTCGTGACGTAAAATTATTTACTTTCTTTTTCATTATTTTATCGTTCTCGCAATATGATATAATATTATAACAAAGCAACATTATATTTTCAATCATGAACAACAATCTAATCAAAAGTTTCATCAGTATTGAAACTTTAAGGTATCTCTCAAAAAATATAGCAATTGATAATAAACAAATTGCAAAAATATTGCAAGTACTGGGTGATAAATCATATCTAACAGAGCCAATCTCTGAAACGTACAGAAGAAAATAATTATTAAACACTATTTTAATAATTGTAACTACATTACTTATTATTTATATGATTGATAGATAACATCGTCAAAATTATCAATATTTAAGCATTTTAATTTTTTTTGAATATTGATTTTAAAGTCTTTGAAGGCAATTAAAAATACGCTGCAATCACAGCGCATTGCTCCTGCTATCAATTGTAAAAAAATAAAAATGTTTTATATATTACTAAACATTTCAATAAGAAAATAACTAAATCTGTAATCTATATAATAATAAAAAAGATTAAATGACAAATACTTTTATTAATAAGTCTTTTCATAAATACACAGATTGAGAATTTAAAAAAGTATATTCTAAATATTTTAATTAAATTTATGTAAAAAAATATCGAACATATTCGAACTGTTTTTGGAGATGTTGTGAATTAAGATATGCAGTCAAAATTTTAAAATTCTGACTCGTAAACGGAACAATTAAAAATTAGAACAATACATTTTATAAAACTTTTTTCATTGATTCCTATATGTACATCATGTTTCTCCATATGTGAGAACAATGTACGTAAATTTTCGTACACTTTAAGTATCTCGATCTGAGATCGGTGTACAATTTAACTGTCTCATGTAGACTAATTTATTAATTTCTATAAAAAGCAATTAAAAATTTAGCACTAACATCCTGCGACGGCTCGTAAGCTCCATTATTATATTTCTTGTTTATAAAACTTGTTCAATGAATTTTGGAAACCTTTAATTTAAAAATATTTTAATTTGTTTTAATTTTAAAATAAAATTAAAACAGATCTTACAAGTTCCGAATAAAGATAAAGAAATTTAGATAAGATATGATTAAATTCAGTTAGATATGATAAAATACTAAAGGTATCTTCAATAATAAACATTCATTTTTTATATACAAGTATTGTAAAAAAGAAAAAGCACAATAAACATATTTGCTATCTAATGCGTAATAGAATAAGTAATATTAATCACTTGATGTTTAAGTTGGCGATAATAAACCTTATAGACGTTTGTCAGTTCCAAAAATAAAGATTACATATGCGAAGCCATACATGTGTGGAACGTTCGCAAAATTGAAGGCGTAATAACAAAAAATCGTCTAAACACAGCTACATCGTATAATAACATTTCTTCTTTTTACAGTTTTCTTTTCTCTAAACCGATCCAAAATCCGCCCACAGGTTTCAACGTAAACTCCTTTTTATCAAACACGACAGGTTCAACAGTCTTCTCCGTGGTCTTGAGAATAAATTTTCGTAAGAGATGAGCTATCAAAAGCTTTGTTTCCATGAGAACGAACCGATTACCGATACACTTTCTAGGCCCATGTCCAAACGGCAAGTAAGTGTACGGAAAAATGTTGTCCTTATTTTCGTCGCTAAATCGTTCGGGATCAAATTTTTGTGGATTCGGAAAGTACTTCGGATCGTGATGCAAGCTATAAGCAGGTATCATCACCAAGGAATTCGATTCGACGGTTATGCTCTTGTAACCTGGCTGTGACGGCGGTAATTCATAATTCTTGACGCAAAGCCTGTCAATGAAAAGTACCGGTGGATACTTTCTGAGAGTCTCAGAGACCACCATGTCCATGTAAACCATTTTCGACAGTGATTCATAAGAAATCGTATCGTTTTCTTCACTAAGATGCTGCTCCACTTCCTCACGCAGGCGATCTTGGATGTCACGATTAACAGCCAGCTCGTGAGCGACGAAACACATGAGTGTCGCGGATGTGTCGAAACCGGCAAAGAAGAAAGTGAAAGCTTGTGAAACAATATCATCCAATGTCATTTTGTGAGAATTTTCCTTGTCTCGAGCCTGCATTAATAAGTGAATCATATCCGGCCTGATGATACCGTGTTTTTCTCGAGCTTCGATCGTCTCTCCGACAACCTTTTTAAAGAATTTCGACGTGGCCAATGGGAGTAAGGAAATACCAAGCGACTTGGCAAGTCGTGGGGAGAGGCGTAAGAACATGAACTTGAGCATAGCCAGTGTTCCACTGAAAAATGTAGTGGCCTCCACTCCTCTTGTGTAGAATTCATTGTTTTGCTCCTTCATCGAATTCACATTTATGCCGAAAGCCGCAGTGGCAATCACGTCGTTGGTGTATCGTCGAAAAGCCTGTTTCGTCTCAATGGCGAGACAAATTTCCGGATGCTCGACCAGATAATCGACAAAGTCGGACGAACATTTCGATATTAGTCCAAACATAAATTTCATCTTGCTGGCGGTGAAAGAAGGGCTCAACGTGTTCCTCATTTCCTTCCAGCGGTCGCCGCGCAGAGAAAAAACGTTCTTACCGAATAGTGGATCTACTTCTTCATTAACGAAACTGCGATGATCCGGAAAGTGTTCAAAATCTTTCACCATGATGTCCTTTATCAATTCGGGATCGCGCAGAAATATACCAGGCGTGGAAAATTCCATCATTCCAACATACTTAGCGTCCGGAAAATAATTGTATATATAACGACTGTAATCAACAAAGCTTATACGACCCATGAACAATTTCCAACCCACTATGGAAAAAGACCACGAATTTGACAGGTTAGGAACGCCCTTCTTCTTCCAGTAAAAGTACGCATGATTCATGTAAGACACAATCTTCACAACGCCGATCAGAATTAAAGTAGTCAATAACAGCGCAAAAGGTGACGAAAATATCTGAGATAACTCCATTATGATGCCGTGATAATAAACAGACGACTGGTTTCGGACGAGACGTAGAACGTAATAAATACAGAAGTGTACACTCACTCGTGCACATCTTATCAAGGCAGAAACGAAGAGGGGAGAAGAGCAAAAATACTTCATTGACATTGGAGGCATGGAAGATTATTGCATCAGTGAATGAGTTAGTCATTTTAAAGATGCTCAACAGAGCCTTTTATCGTGTCTTCATATCACGCGTATAAAACTCTTGCTATAAGTCGTATAAAAAATTTTCCTTAATGTCAATGACAATACATATACGCCTTATTTGAAAACTGATTGATAACGTACATGTATGTGTGTGCGTCAAAAGTATTGTTTTATTTCCATAAAACAAAATAAAATTTATTCTTGTCTATGCTCATATTTAAATCACACATTATATTTAAATTATATAAGCATCATCAATCGGTTTTATATTTTATCTTGCGTTTTTTACTTTTATATCTAAAATTTATATTTTAATATTTTCAATAAACCAATAAAGAAAATGTACGGGACAACATATTCTTAAATAATTATTTAAAAAATAATAGTAAAAAAAAATATAAAATATTCAACGCACATAAAAAAATTAACTGAATTTATATATTTTATTTATAAAATCGAAAATTGATGTAACTAATGTAACAACATTTCTTTGTTTCTGTACCGTAATGACGTAAAGTTATTTTCCTTTTTTCTATTACTATATCGTTCTCGTAATATGATATTATATTGCAACAAAAGCAACATTATATTTCCTATCATAAACGATAATCTAATCAAAAGTTTCAGTATTGAAACTTTGAGGTATTTCTCAAAAAATGTAATCATTGATAACAAATTGATTGCAAAAGTATTGCAAATATATAGATAGCAAATTATATCTAACTAATAGTCAATCTCTGAAACGTACAAAAAGAAAAAAGTATTAAACACTATTTTAATAAATGTAACTACATTAATTATTTTATATGATTGATAGATAGAATCAAAATTATTTATTACTAAATATTTAAATTTTTTCTAAATATTAATTTTAAAGCTTTTGGAGACAACTAAAAATATGCAATCATAACGCATCTACTAATAATTGTAAAAAAATAAAAATGTTTTATATATTACTACATTTTTCAATAAAAAAATAACTAAATTTGTAATATATATATTAATAAAAGAGTTTTTAAAAACAAATGCTCTTAGTGATAAGTCTTTTCATAAATATTATACATAAATTGATAATTTAAAAAAGTATATTCTAATATTTTAATTAAAGTTATTAATTAAAGTAAAGATCAAACATATTCGGACTGTTTTTGGAGATGTTGTGAAATAAGATATGCAGTCAAAATTTTAGAATTCTAAGTCGTATACATAACAATTAAAAATTCGAACAATACAGTCCACGTAAAACTTGTTCAGAAAATTTTAAAAATTTATTTTTAAAATAAAATTAAAATAAATTTTAAAAGATAAAAATAAAAAATTAAGAAATTTAGATAAGATATGATTAAATTCAAAAAGATATGATAAATCACAGAAGATATTTTCAATAATAAACATATTCTTTTTTATATACAACTATTATTGTATAAGAATATGTACAATAAACGTATTTATTATCTCTCCTTTTATTCGTTGCTCTTTAGCAACAAATAAAAGTTATTTTCGTTTTTAAACAACGGTTCATATAATCAAGTTGAGTTCATACAAGTCACGACATTCATCTTAATATTTAGTCTCATTCCTCATTAGCAATTCAATAATATTATTATATAATACGTAATAGAATATGTAATATTAATCACTTGATGTTTAAGTTGGTGATAATAAATCTCAAACAGACATTTATCAGTTCCGAAAGTAAAAATTTACACATACGTGGAACGTCTGCAAAATTAAAAGTGTAATAACAAAAAATTTTCTAAACGCAACTATGTTGTATATAAACATTCCAGATTTTTAAATTTTTCTCTTTTCTAAACCGATCCAAAATCCGCCCACAGGTTTCAACGCAAACTCTTTTTTATCAAACAGGACAGGTTCAATAGTCTTCTCTGTGGTCTTGAGAATAAATTTTTGTAAGAGATGAGCTATCAGAAGCTTTGTTTCCATAAGAGCAAACCGATTACCGATACACTTTCTAGGCCCATGTCCGAACGGCAAGTAAGTGCACGGAAAAATGTTGTCCTTATTTTCATCGCTAAACCGTTCGGGATCAAACTTTTGTGGATTCGGAAAGTACTTTGGATCGTGATGCAAGCCATAAACAGGTATCATCATCACGTCATTCGATTTTACGGTTACGCTCTTGTAACCTGGTTGTGACGGCGGTAATTCATAATCCTTGACGCAAAGCCTATCAGTGGTAGGTGCCGGTGGATACTTTCTAAGAGTCTCAGAGACCACCATGTCCATGTAAACCATTTTCGACAATGATTCGTAAGAAATCGTATCGTTTTCTACACTAAGATGCTGCTCCACTTCCTCACGCAGGCGATCTTGGATATCACGATTAACAGCCAGCTCGTGAGCGATAAAACACATCAGTGTCGCGGATGTGTCAAAACCGGCAAAAAAAAAGACTACAGCTTGTGAAACAATATCATCCAATGTAATCTTGTGAGAATTTTCCTTGTCGCGAGCCTGCAATAATAAGTGAATCATATCCGGCCTGATGATACCGTGTTTTTCTCGAGCTTCGATCGTCTCTCCGACAACTTTCTTGAAAAATTTCGACATGGCCAATGGAGAAAAGGACAAACCGAATAAATTGCCAAGTCGCGGGAATAAACGTAAGAACATGAACTTCAACATAACCAGTATTCCACTGGAAAATGTGGTGGCCTCCGCACCTCTTGTGTAGAATTCATTGTTTTGGTCCTTCATCGAATTCACATTTATGCCGAAAGCCGCCGTGGCAATCACGTCGTTGGTGTATCGTCGAAAGGCCTGCTTCGTCTCTATGGCGAGACAAATTTCCGGATGCTCGACTAGATAATCGACAAAGTCGGACGAACATTTCGATACCAGCTCGAACATAAATTTCATCTTGCTGGCGGTGAAAGAAGGGCTCAATGTGTTCCTCATTTCTTTCCAGCGGTCGCCGCGCAGGGCAAAAATGTTCTTAGCAAATAGTGGGTCCACTTCTTCGTCAACAAAACTGCGATGATCCGGAAAGTGTTCAAAATCTTTCACCATGATGTCCTTGATCAATTCGGGATCGCGCAGAAGTATGGTAGGTGTGGCAAAATCCGATATTCCAACATACTTAGCGTCCGGAAAGTAATTATATAAAAAATTATTGTACTCAACAATGCTTAAGTGACCCGTGAACAGTTTCCAACCGGTTATAAAAGATAACCATGAATCTGGCAGGTAAGGAATGCCCTTCTTCTTCCAATAAAAGTATGCAAGATTCACGTAAGGCACAATCTTCACAACGCCGATTAGAATTAAAGTAGTCAATATCAACGCAAAAGGCGACGAAAATAGCTGAAATAACGCTGTCATAATGCCGCGATAATCAAGAAACGACTGGTTCCGGACGAGACGTAGAACGTAATAAATACAGACACGTATACCGCTAGTGTGTATATTATCAAGGCAGAAATGAAGAGGGGAGAACAGCAAGAACACTTGCTTGGCATTGAAAGCATACAAGATTATTACGTCAGAGAAAGTGTTAGTCATTTTAAACGTGGGCAACAGAGCCTTTTAACGTGTCATCATATCAAGTGTATCAAACTCTTGCTATAAAAAAGTTTCCTTAATGTAAATGACAATGCATATACGCCTTATTTGAGAACTGTCTGCCAGTGATAAAAATGTATATGTATGTGTGTGCGTCAAAAATATTGTTTTATTTTCATAAAACAAAATAAAATAAATTTTTGTGTATGCTCATATTTTAATTTACATATTATATTTAAATTACATAAGTGTCAACAATCGATTTTATTATTTATCTTGGGTTTTTTATTTTTTATTTTTTATTTTTTATTTTAAAATCCTAAAATTTATATTTTAATATTTTCAATAAACCAATAGAGAAAATGTACGAGACAACATATTCTTAAATAATCATTGAAAAAATAATAGTAAAAAAAGGATAAAATATTCAATCTATATGAAAAGATAAATTGCATTTGTATATTATATTTATATGTTCAAAAATTGATATAATTTAAGTTCAAAAATTGATATGACTAATGTAATAACATCACTTTATTTGTTTTCGTGACGTGAAGTTATTTTCTTTCTTTTCCATTATTTTATCGTACTCGCAATATGATATTATATATTGTGTAACAAAGCAACATTATATTTTCTATCATAAACAATAATCCAATCAAAAATTTTAGCAGTACTGAAACTTTGAAGTATTCCAAAATATATAGGAATTGATAATAACCTAATTGTAAAGATATTGCAAAGATTAGATGATAAATCATATCTAGCTGATAGCCTATCTCTGAAACGGATAATGTAGAGAGAATGAAGTATAAAACACTATGTTAATTATTGTAACTACTTTAATTAATATTTATATGATAGATAATATCGTCAAAATTATTCATTTTTAAATATCTTAATTTGTTAAAAATATTTATTTTAAAGCTTTTAAAGTTTTTAAAGACAATTAAAAATATGCTGCTATCACAGCGCTCTTGCTATTAATTGTAAAAAATTGAAATGTTTTATATATTACTAAATATTTAAATCAAAAAATAATTAAATTTGCAATATATATATACTAATAAAAGGGCTTTAAAGACCAATGCTCTTATTAATAAGTCTTTTCATAAATACATGTATTGATAATCTAAAAAAGTATACTCTCAATATTTTAATTAAATTTACGTAAAGATCGAACATATTCAGACTGTTCTTAGAGATGTTGTGAATTAAGCTCTGTAGAAAAATTGTAGAATTCTAAATCATAAACGGAACAATTAAAAATTCGAACAATATATTTCATATAAAACTTGTTCAGAGATTTATGGAAACATTTAATTTTGAAATAAAATTCAAATAAATCTTAAAAGTTCGGAATAAAAAATAAAGAAATTTAGATAAGATATGATTAAATTCAGTAAGATATGATAAAATACAAAAGGTATATTGAACAATGAATAATCTTTTTTTATATTCAAGTATTGTAAAAAAGGAAAAGCATAATAAACATATTTTCTATCTAATGCGTAATAGAATAAGTAATATAAATCACTTGACGTTTGAGTTGGTGATAATAAACCTTATAGACGTTTATCAGAGTTCCGAAAATAAAGATTACATATGCGAAGACATACATGTGTGGAACGTCCGCAAAATTAAAAGTGTAATAACAAAAAATCTTCTAAACACAGCTACATCGTATAATAACATTTCTTTTTTTACGTTTTTCTTTTCTCTAAACCAATCCAAAATCCACTCACAGGTTTCAACGAAAACTCCTTTTTATCAAACACGACAGGTTCAACAGTCTTCTCAGTGGTCTTAATAATAAATTTTCGCAAAAGATGTGCTATCAAAAGCTTTGTTTCCATAAGAGCGAACCGATTACCGATACACTTTCTAGGCCCATGTCCAAACGGCAAGTAAGTGTACGGAAAAATGTTGTCCTTATTTTCATCGCTAAACCGTTCGGGATCGAAGTTTTGTGGATTCGGAAAATACTTTGGATCGTGATGCAAGCCATAAACAGGTATCATTATCACCTCATTCGATTTGACGGTTACGCCTTTATAACCTGGTTGTGACGGTGGTAATTCATAATCCTTGAAGCAAAGCCTGTCAAGGATAAGTACCGGTGGATACTTTCTGAGAGTCTCAGAGACCACCATGTCCAGGTAAACCATTTTCGACAGTGATTCGTAAGAAATCGTATCGTCCTCTTCACTAAGATGCTGTTCCACTTCCTCACGTAGGCGATCTTGAATATCACTTTTTACTGCCAGCTCGTGAGCGACGAAACACATGAGTGTCGCGGATGTGTCAAAACCGGCAAAGAAAAAGATGAAAGCTTGTGAAACAATATCATCCAATGTCATTTTGTGAGAATTTTCCTTGTCTCGAGCCTGCATTAATAAGTGAATCATATCCGGCCTGATGATACCGTGTTTTTCTCGAGCTTCGATCGTTTCTCCGACAACTTTTTTGAAGAATTTCGACGTGGCCAATGGGAAAAAGGCCACACCGATCGACTTGGCAAGTCGCGGGAAGAAACGTAATAACGTGAACTTGAGCAGAGCCAGTGCTCCACTGGAAAATGTGGTGGCCTCTACACCTCTTGTGTAGAATTCATTGTTTTGCTCCTTCATCGAATTCACATTTATGCCGAAAGCCGCCGTGGCAATCACGTCGTTGGTGTATCGTCGAAAGGCTTGTTTCGCCTCAATGGCGAGACAAATTTCCGGATGCTCGACCAGATAATCGACAAAGTCGGACGAACATTTCGATATTAGTTCAAACATAAATTTCATCTTGCTGGCGGTGAAAGAAGGGCTCAACGTGTTCCTCATTTCCTTCCAACGATCGCCGCGCAGGGAAAAAACGTTCTTACCGAATAGTGGATCCACTTCTTCGGTAACGAAACTGCGATGATCCGGAAAGTGTTCAAAATCTTTCACCATGACATCCTTAATCAATTCGGGATCGCGCAGAAGTATGCCAGGTGTAGCAAAGTCCGATATTCCAACATACTTAGCGTCCGGAAAGTAATTGTATATATAATTAGTGTAATCAACAAAACTCATGCGACCCATGAACAGTTTCCAACCCGCTATGAAAGAGGACCATGAATCAGGCAGGTAAGGAACGCCCTTCTTGTTCCAATAAGAGTACGCACAATTCACGTAAGGCACAATCTTCACAACGCCGATTAGAATTAAAGTAGTCAATAACAGCGCAAAAGGCGACGAAAATATCTGAGATAACTCCATTATGATGCCGTGATAATGAATAGACGACTGGTTTCGAGCGAGACGTGGAACGTAATAAATACAGACGCTTATACTCGCTAGTGCGCATCGTATCAAGGCAGAAACGAAGAGGGGAGAAGAGCAAAAAACACTTTATTGGCATTGGAGGCATGGATATTATTGCATCAGTGAATGAGTTCGTCATTCTAAACGTGAGCAACAGAGCCTCTTGAACGTGTCATTGTATCAAGCGTATCAAACTCTTGCTCTATGTCGTATAAAAAAAATATATTTTCCTTAATAACAATGATAATGCATATACGCCTTATTTGAAAACTGACAGGCGGTAATAATAATGTATATGTATGTGTGTCAAAAGTATTGTTTTATTTTCATAAAATAAAATAAAATTTATTCTTGTGTACGCTCATATTTTAATTTACATATAATATTTAAACTATATAAATATCAACAACCGATTTATATTTTATTTTGGGTTTTTTACTTTTTATTCTAAAATTCCAAAATTTATATTTTAGTATTTTCAGTAAACCAATAGTGAAAATGTACGGGACAACATATTCTTAAAAAATTATTGAAAAAATAATAGTAAAAAAAAGAATAAAATATTCAATGTATATGAAAGGATAAATTGTATTTATATATGGTATTTTTGTAAGTTCAAAAATTATGACTAATGTAACAACATCACCTTATTTGTTTTCGTGACGTAAAATTATTTACTTTCTTTTTCATTGTTTTATCGTTCTCGCAATATGATATAATATTATAACAAAGCAACATTATATTTTCTATCATGAACAACAATCTAATTAAAAGTTTCATCAGTATTAAAACTTTGAGGTATCTCTTAAAAAATATAGCAATTGATAATAAACTAATTGCAAAAATATTGCAAGTACTAGATGATAAATAATATGTAACTAATAGCCAATCTCTGAAGCGCACAGAGAGAAAAAAAGTATTAAACACTATTTTAATAATTACAACATTATTTATTTTATATGATTGATAGATAACATCATCAAAATAATTTATTTTTTAATATTTTAATTTTTTTTAAATATTAATTATAAAGCTTTTAAAGACAATTAAAAATGCGCTGCAATCAGAGCGGATGGCTCCTGCTATTAATTGTAAAGAAATAAATATGTTTCAAATATTATCAAAAATTTCAAGAAAATAACTAAATTTACAATCTATGTATTAATAAAAGAGCCAATGCACTTATTACTAAACTCTTTACATAAATATAAAAATTGTTGATCTAACAAAACCTTATTCAAAATATTTTAACCTTCTAATTATTTTTTACTTATTTTAATTAAATTTACGTAAAAATCGCACATATTCGTACTCTTTTTGATGATGTTGTCAATTAAGATCTACAGTCAAAATTTTAAAATTCTGAATTGTAAATGTAACAATTAAAAATTCCAAATATAAATTTTATATAAAATATTTTCAGAGAATTTTAGAAACCATTAATTTTAAAATAAATAAAAAATAAATTCTAAAAAAGTTGAGAATAAAAAATTAAAAAATTTAGAGATGAGATATGATTAAATTCAGTAAGTTATGATAAAATACAAAAGATATCTGCAATAATAAACATATTCTTTGTTATATACAACAACTATTGTATAAGAATATGCACAATGAACGTATTTACTATCTCTTCCTTTATTCGTTGCTCTTTAGTAACGAATAAAAGTTACTTAAGTTTTTAAACAACGGTTCATAATAATAATCAAGTTGAGGTTATACACGTCACGACATTCATCTTAATATTTAGTCTCATTCCTCATTAGCAATTCAATAACATTATTATATAATGCGTAATGAAATGTGTAATATTAATCACTTGATGTTGGAATCGGTGATAATAAATCTTAAATAGACATTTATCAGTTCCAAAATTAAAAATTTACAATACGTGGAACGTCTGCAAAATTAAAAGTGTAATAATAAAAAATCTTCTAAACCCAACTACGTCGTGTAATAGCAATCCAGTTTTTTAAATTTTTCTCTTCTCTAAACCGATCCAAAATCCGCCCACAGGTTTCAATGTAAACTCTTTTTTATCAAACACGACAGGTTCAACAGTCTTTTCCGTCGTCTTGAGAATAAATTTTCGTAAGAGATGAGCTATCAGAAGCTTTGTTTCCATGAGGGCGAACCGATTACCGATACATTTTCTAGGCCCATGTCCGAACGGCAAGTAAGTGTACGGAAAAATATTGTCCTTATTTTCGTCGCTAAACCGTTCGGGATCGAACTTTTGTGGATTCGGAAAGTACTTGGGATCATGATGCAAGCCATAAACAGGTATCAACATCATGGCATTAGATTCGACGGTTACGCTCTTGTAACCTGACTGTGACGGCGGTAATTCATAATTCTTGACGCAAAGCCTGTCAGTGAAAGTTGCCGGTGGATATTTTCTCAGAGTCTCAGAGACCACCATGTCCATGTAAACCATTTTCGACAGTGATTCGTAAGAAATCGTATCGTTTTCTTCACTAAGATGCTGCTCCACTTCCTCACGCAGGCGATCTTGAACATCACGATTAACTGCCAGCTCATGAGCGACGAAACACATGAGTGTCGCGGATGTCTCAAAACCGGCAAAAAAAAAGACAACAGCTTGTGAAACAATATCATCCAATGTAATCTTGTGAGAATTTTCCTTGTCTCGAGCCTGCATTAATAAGTGAATCATATCCGGCCTGATAATACCGTGTTTTTGTCGAACTTCGATCGTCTCCCCAACAATCTTTTTGAAGAATTTCGACGTAGCCGATGGGAAAAAGGATATACCGAGCGACTTGGCAAATCGCGGGAAGAAACGTAACAAGGTGAACTTGAGCAGAGCCAGTGCTCCACTGGAAAATGTGGTGACCTCTACGCCTCTTGTGTAGAATTCATTGTTTTGCTCCTTCATCGAGTTCACATTTATGCCGAAAGCCGCCGTGGCAATCACGTCGGTGGTGTATCGTCGAAAAGCCTGTTTCGTCTCAATGGCGAGACAAATTTCCGGATGCTCGACCAGATAATCGACAAAGTCGGACGAACATTTCGATATCAGCTCGAACATAAATTTCATCTTGCTGGCGGTGAAAGAAGGGCTCAACGTGTTCCTCATTTCTTTCCAGCGGTCGCCGCGCAGGGAAGCAACGTTCTTAGCGAATAATGGTTCCACATCTTCGTTAACGAAACTGCGATGATCCGGAAAATGTTCAAAATGTTTCACCATGATGTCCTTTATCAATTCAGGATCGCGCAGAAGTATAACAGGCGTGGAAAAGCTCGATATTCCAACATACTTAGCGTCAGGAAAATAATTATATAAAAAATTATTGTAATCAACAATGCTTATGCGACGCATGAACAGTTTCCAACCCGTTGTGAAAGACGACCATGAAAGTGGTAGGTAAGGTGCGTCCTTTTTCTTCCAGTAAAAATACGCGCGATTCACGTGAGGAACAATCTTCACAACGCCGATTAGAATTAAAGTAATCAATAACAGCGCAAAAGGCGACAAAAATAGCTGATATAACTCCATTATGCCGTGATAAACAGACGCGTGGTTTTGGACGAGTCGTAAAACGTAATAAACAGACGCGTATACTCGCTAGTGCGTATCGTATCAAGGCAGAAACGAAGAGGGGAGAAGAGCAAAAACATTTCATTGGCATTGGACGCATGGAAGATTATCGTATGAGTGTATGGGTTAATCATTTTAAACGTTCAGAACAGAGACTTTTAAATGCATTATCTCATCAAGTGTATCAAACTCTTGCTATACGTCGTATAAAAAATTTTCCTTAATATCAATGATAATGCATATACACGTAATCTGAAAACTGATTGATAACGTACATGTATGTGTATGCGTGAAAGGTATTGTTTTATTTTCATGAAACAAAATAAGATTTATTTTATTCAAAATTTTAATTGTCATATTGAATTCATTGAGTTTAATTGTCATATTGAGATTCGAAAATCTAAAAATTGGACTGCAACCGAGAAAAAATGGTATAATTAGTCAGATTTAAATATATATCATTAGTTATGAAAAGATCTGATAATACATATGTAATTTTATATGTTCATGTCTTAAGTTATCAGTTCATATCTTTTCATAACTAATTATATTTACATTTGACCATATTATACGATTTTTTCTCGGGCAGATTTCAACAAAACCCTAAATCTTCTATCTTCTACATAAACATTTTTTGAAAAGTTCGCGATCTCTAGTATGTAGATATAAATGCTATATTTAAAATTTTTATTGCATTGTAATGTCAGATATGTGATATAATTAGCTATGTGTATATAAAATGGCGTCTGATTTTAATCTGCGCATTTTAATCGTGGACTTCGTAACGATACTTTTGCTATCAATTATTATCGTTAAATGTAATCTGTTTGTTTTGCTTCTGATACACACACACGCACACACATACTTACATATTATATATAATCACTCATGACTCTTTTTCAATAAATGATGAAAAAAAATTGAAAAAAATGAAAAAAATACATTTAAATACATGTTTTATTACTCACCAATAAAGACGAAGATCTGGTGATGTGAGTAGCGCAGTAACATCGAAATCGATACCGTCTAAAACAAGAAAAGGTAAAAATGCATTACTAAATTCATATTATTATCCTAATTGAGATCATATATACAAGATGTTGCACATACATCGTAATTGGCACAAACAATTGTTATTACTTTAAAAATTCGCCTATTCGAATTATAAGTTACGGATATTCGGAAATTTTACGCGAGTAGCTTTGACAAAATTATGGTGTCACGTAAATTGCAAACTGGTCGTTCGTAGTCGGTTAGCAGGTTGAGCGAATGTTGAAATTGAATTGCGATCGGTTCAGATTGAACTGCACCTGATACCCTTCGAAGATAATCCGTTATTTGCAACAACCAGCCTTAGTAACGAGGTTGTTCGATCACACCTTATACGATTGCGTAAATGTTATTTAAAAAATATGGAAAAAATGTAAAAAGAAAAAGAAAAAAACTAATAAAAATTACATGTTATTAGCTTATTCGAAAAAATAATATCGATATAGTAATTCGGCAATTACTTCTACGCTCAGAAAAGACATGTTGGAAATGTAGTAAATGAATGTTGTAAACAATAGAATATCATTTGCAGAAAACCGACAGAATAAGAATCTAATTTATAAGAAATATTTTCATCTCTGTCTGAGGTTGTCTGACCTATGTGAATTGGATATTCTTATACTTTTTTGTGAATATTCCCTAATCCCCTAAGTGTTAATGATACATGCACATGCGTCATTTGAAAATTAATTGTCAATGTTAATGATGCATTCATGCGTCAGTTCCAAAAAGAATTGTTATCACCTATAGAACTTTCGCATAACACGGTATCCGTAGGTTTTTAATCTTGCCAAATTCGAATCTTTAGTCAAAATTTACGAATTCAATATGACGCATCTAATAAAGCAAACGTAAATTTGGAAAAAATATTCCACTGTCATTAATTTCAATTTTTTAAGATTTTTACGATTTTTTCTTTCAAATCTGACATCAAAATTTTGAAATTGAACAAAACATCTTTTGTAAAACACAAAATAAAATGAATTATATATTAAAATTCTGATCATTTTCTTTTCATAGAAATTATTTTTGGTATTAGTGTTTTTATTTCTTAACAGCTTGACATTCGCCTAAATAAATCAACTCTTTTTTTGTCGAACAATGCGGTTTTTGCGGTTAATAGATATCGCTTACGGTAAACTCGATTGTACTATACGATCAATTGAATACGATATAAGAGATGTAAACCCCGGAGGGGGTGAAACGGATGCGAGCGACAAACGTGCAAACACAAAGACGAACAAGGAGAAAGATAAAGGAAGAGGGAATAGTATTTCATACTGGATCACATTGTAACGAAGCGCCGGACGTCGCGTGCACATGACAGAGGAGATACACGGTGATACGTGCGCGACGACAGTCGCGTGCACGTGACTCCAACGGCGGGTCAGCCGGGGGTGGCTTAGAATGAACCCTTCAGGCAGACGGGGCTCGAATTCACGTGTTACGGCACGAGCGACTCGCAATGCTCACTGTACCCACTCTCAACCCTTTAATCCCTCAATAAACTTCGATTGGCATCGAATTCGCTCTACGTTGTAAAGCAAATGCAACGTCAAGTTTGAAGAACAAAATATCTCACCGCTGAGCAGCAATTCGAATCACGAGGCGACGAATCCGCAAACCTTACTATATTTGACGTCTACACCAGAAACTCTAATCATGACTTGCAGCAGTCAGAACATTCAATTCTTAATTTCTTAAATGTTAATGATGCATATACGCGTCATTGGAAAACTGACCGCTAATGTTAATGACGTATATATTAAAAAAAATATTTTCCGCTTATAAAATTTTCATGGGTTTTTGAAATCACTACATTCGAGTTTCTCGTAAAAGTTTTTGTCGTTTTTTAATTCGAATATATAAAAAAAAATCTTTCATATAAAATCTATTGTTCGAAATTTTAAATGCTACATTAAATTCCCGAAAATTCAAAACTTCGACTATGAATTTAAATTTAACGCCCCCCAAAAAATTACATTTATAATTTTTATGTAAATAAAACTATTTTTTCAAATAAATAATTTTTAGTAATATAAAGCGTTTTTATTTCTTCGCAGTTGAAAGATTAATGCAACAAAATAAACGACAAAACATTAAAATACTTTAGAAATGTCAGTCTGAAATATTTTGGAAATAAAACATTTGCAATTGATGTGCAATTGTAAGAAAAAAATAGTGATTTTTAAACTATAATATGCAAAATACACCATATCATTAAAAGCATCGCAAAATTAGGAGTTTCATCAAGTAACGATAATCTCGACCGCAGTACACTGCAATCTATTTCACTACAATTTGATACAAAATTACCGACATGGGGCTACCTACGACGAATACGATGCCTCTAATAACGTTGATTTATACCCGACGGTTCAATTCCAAAGGGATCAAGCGCACAGATGAGTACACAGAGGATAGGAAAGCTATGCGCAGGCAGGTTACTTCAGCGGATGGTTAGCTCGGATTGATTGCCATATCCTTTTACACGTGTTAAGCTATCGTATAGGCGAGCGTGAAATCGTTCCTCTCTTCGATGTGAGGGTATTTATTATCACAAAAAAAAAAAAATATATATATATATATATATATACAAGCCAAGTTGTGATTTGATGACACATACACACTTCCACATGGCAGACTTATCACTTGATACTTTCCATGATATACGCTATGTACTTTAATGTAGTCTTATTACTACTTATTTTGGTAAAAAATCTGTTATTTAATAATTTTGTAACTCTCTTTTGGAAATGGCCTAGATATGGCCTAGAATAAAAAATATATATTTTATTCATTATTAGACATTGGAATCTTATACTACAAAAATGGATATATTTAGCGATTTAGAATTTACAATTTTCTTCACTACAATGTATTAAAATTTTATACTTTAAACAAAGAAGTAATCTGGAAAATATACATTTTAATATTCTAAACTATTTTTTTCTTTAAAATATCAGATTTCAAGGCATTGCAGTAAAGTCCTAGGTTTGCCAAACGAAATAATATAAGATTCTAAAACAGAAAAATGAATAAAATGTACATTTTAACATTAATATACATTTTATTAATTTTTATACCTTAGAATCTTAAATCATAGCATTTTGCAGGTCTAGAACTTTACTATGATGCATGGAAATCTTATACTTTATAATTCTAGACCATTTTTTATGTTTAAAATGTAAAATTTTAATGCACTGCAAGAAAGAAAATGTATATTCTAAAATTCTAACCTAACATATATTAAGATATAACGTTATAAGGAATAACAATGAATAAAATGTACATTTTATCATTCTAAACCATTTTTTTCTTTAAAATATAAGATTTTAAAGCATTGCAGTAAAGTTCTAGGCTTGCCAAACGATATAATATAAGATTCTAAAGCAGAAAAATAAATAAAATGTACATTTTAACATTAATATACATTTTATTAATTTTTATGCCTTAGAATCTTAAATTATAGCATTTTGCAGGCCTATAACTTTACTGTGATGCATTAAAATCTTATATTTTATAATTCTAAACCATTTTTTTGTTAAAAATATAAAATTTCAATGCATTGCAGGAATGCCTTGAAATCTTATATTTTAAAGAAAAAAATATAGCCTAGAATCATAAGTGTTTTAGAAAATGCATGCACACACACATGCATAGTCAATCCATAAATTTCCTTCTCATGAATATTTTTCCTTCTCTTCAATATAATTTTTAGTATTGAAGTTTATATATGCTATTGTAATGTATTATTATATTGTATTATATACATTACATGCGTTAACAAATAAATTTTCTTATCTGTTGGCAAATCTCATATATGCAACCAATTGATAAATTAAGCATAAATTTTATAAGATACTTACAAACACGAGCATGACGAAAAATGCGGCTAGATATGATGATCGCGCCATCCACATGCTCACAAATCGGTAATGTTCTCCTGTCACTACATTCCTACGCCAATCACACAGATTAAACAAAGCTATTTTTCAATTCAATATTTATGTATTTTTAATGCGTTTAAACGCAGATCAATAAGTATTAAATGTAGAAATTACCTCAGGAAGCCTTTGTTGTCTTCATGTTCTGCTAGTGTTTTGATGCTTGCCATCAACAAATCATCATATCCCAAAAATTCATCCAATATCAATCTTGAAAATGCATCACCGAAACATTTGTCAGTCAATGGATCCAAAGTGACAATTTTGACTGGAATGTTTAATCTTTGTCGGGCTGCCGGTGACAATCGCAAGAAACCATATTCCAATGAATATTCCACGATATATCCATCTTCTGGAAATACAGAATGTAAATTTTGTAATTCAAGAATAAAATAATAACAAATATTGATAAAATATATTGAAAAAGTAGTTGCTAATACTTAATTTAAATTTGATATTTAATTAAAAATTTGGAATACAGTAAATCTTGTATTTGATAAAAATAATATCTTCTTAGATTTTCAAAGTTTTAATGTCAGATTTGAATTAAAAAATTAGAAAAACCCTGTTTTCAAAACAATGTTTCATAAAAAATTCTATAGGTGGAAAATATTTTTTTAAAGTAAATGCATTGTTAACACTGATGGTCAATTTTTAAAAGAAGCATATATGCGTCATTAACACCTTAAGAAATTAATCATACTTAGATTCTTATTGTTAAACTTGCCTTTCAGATAATACATTTCCATTGATATTTACCTGTTCTCGCCATTTTGTCAACATCCGACGTACGATCTTTCAACTGTACAACATTCTCTCCATTTGACTGATTGATTTCAGGTACTTCCGTAGAATTACCTTCTGCACTTGTAGATAACTAAAATAAATTACATTAAAATAAATAATATATAAATATGTATTTATAATTATATAATTATGTGGTACAGGTAAAAAGTTTTTAATGTGTAAGAAATGCTTAGAAACTTCTATTTTTATCAAAATATTAGATTATTTTATCATTATCATTATTATCTTCGAATCATGAACCATGCTTACTGTTTTTTCAGCTATGTTTAAACCATTCCAAAACTTAGTTGATAATGGCGAGTTCATCGTTGTATTTGTTGTGCTTAGATCAGGATTTTGTGTCTCTCCAGAAACTATGACATTTCCCATTATATCTTGTTCCTTTAATGTTAAATTCTCGTGATTTTCTTCATTGGAAGGATTTACAGTGTCCCGTTCTTCATCAACAGCCGATGGTTCAATATTTATAAATCTAACATAACAAATAAACAAATATATATTTTAATAAATATTAAACATATTTTGATTTAATGTTTCTTATATCATACGAATACTCATTTTGGCTTACCCATCTCTAGTTAATATTCCCAAAGCGTTAGTTAAATCATCAACTTTCTCTTGCCTTAATCTTTCCTCTTTGGCATAACTTTTCTCTATACTATAATCCTCACCACCATTCCTGAGAATTTCAACTCTCAATATACCGTCCCGCGGCCATTCATCTCTTATATGTTCTAAGCAGTTAGTGGGAGCACGTGAAAATACTATATGAATATAAGCCAATACAAAAAATGCCAATATAGCCTGTAAAAATAAATAAAATCTTTTCTTAATATTTGTTTAATTTCTTTATTTGGTTATTTTTATTATTTCTATTTTATTTTTGTTGTTTTTCTTTTCTATTCAAAAATTTCTCTTATAAAACATTTTTTGTTGTTGTTTTTTAATGAAATCACATAACAAATACATTGATGCGTTAATGATACTTTAATCATTAATACTTTACTACTACAAACTGTTTCATATTCTTCTATCTCAATCAGATTAATTTTAGATTTATAAATACAAGTTTTATAGTATATAAACATCTTGTACATACCTTCAACAGAACTATAAATTCTATGAATCTCCTGACAGGCCTTGGAAATGTTCGTGCATAAGCTAGTGCTGCTTTGATAAATAACGCATGAAACAACCTATCCCGCACATTAATCAATGGGTTTTGATTATTGTTATTTCTAGCTATATTCATATTATTGTTATTTAAAACTGGTCCTATTACACCAGCAAGACTATGAAGATTATGTATCACTGCACCGTTTTGATTATTTGGCACTGCAACAGCAGCACCATCTCCTTGTGGCATTTTGGGTATTAAATAATTTTCTCAAAATAAAAATTTGAAAAAATTGTGTGAAAATTATTTACACAATCATCATGTTTATACATGTGTAATATGTCATTTCCAGTTACTGGATGTAGACATCCTATCCTGAAACAAACAATAACAAACTTGTTAAACATAGTTTAACTTAGCTTACTAAAGATATATTAGTATATGTAAATTATAATAAAATTTCCCCAAAATATCTATGTCTCAAATTTAATATATAATTTTTTTATTTCTACAATAAAACAATTTTGCTCTTTTTCTACTGTAGCATGACACATCAGTTTTGATGGTTATAAAAAGCAAATAGCAATTATTATTTTTAAAAATATAATATATTGTGCTTATCTCCTTTTTCAAATATAAATGCTATATAAAAGAAGAATATAATTTAGACAGTTTTAACTATTTTAGCTTTGTAATCTTGGAAAGTATATTGCTGAAATAAATCAGATATTTATATTACTATATATTCTCAAATAATTTTCTACCAAAATAATAACCTACTACTTTTATAATTGTACCAATAATTAAATAATTGAAGAATTTATTACATTAGATTATAAATCAAACTTTTTAAAATATTTGTATAACAGTATGCTGCGTTATACGATACAGGTTTTACTTCTTCACATAAACATAATATTCATAAATCTCTTTTGACAATAACTTGAATAAAGACAATCATATCTATGGTACAAATATTTGATTATTTGTTATAAAAAATTTTCACATAAAAAATAGAAAGTAAAATGTATTGAAAAATAAATAGCGCAGTACTGTCTATTCATATCTATAGAATTCTAAATATATATTAAAAAACATTACCTTAAAATAGATAATAAAGATAAAATTAATAATAGCAATAAACTAGATAAAAATTACAAACATGCAAAAAATTTTATGAAAAAAATTTATCTAACCTAATTTACAAAACTACAATGTACAATTTATAACCTATTTGTATCACATTCATGAATATGTAAACTTGCATAAAAATAATAAAAAAATAAGTATTATTTTTAAAAAAAGCCCACTTTAATGCGCATTAAACAACGAAATAATATAATAAATCATACGTAAAAAATATATATGCAAAACAGTGACAGTGAATGGACAGTGAATGTTATACTCCATTACGTAATTTCCTGATTGAAAGAAAAAATAATAACCTTTCAATTGCACAAGATAGACATCGATTATATTAATTTCTTTCACGCTTTACAATAAATATATTCTCCAAAAAGAAAAGCAATATGGAATGAGACGTTTCACATTTAAATGTCAAACATCGTCTGTATCATCAGATGTTTTCAGGAACAAATCTGGCACATCCTACCTCGTAATAAGATTGCAATAAAAATGCTAATTTTGCAATATTTGATGACACTGTGTCGTACCTTCTTTTCACATATGTCAGGTGTTCGCGGAAAAGTTGCGTATTCACCTGATTAATATATTTGCGAAATTGTTTTATCGTCGTATGTTTTGATATGTAGTCAATGTAGTATATACGAGTATATATACTGCCATAGATTGTAACACTAAAGAAAATAATGCAAGTGATCGTTTTGGCAAAGTCTAGTGATTTCCTTCTCATCACATGGCCCATTTTGGTTTCTTACAGCCAGGTTTTTGTTACTGAGGTTTCACGTCCAGATGGCGCAAGATTGCTTCATCACTTACAAAAGAGAGTTTGGACTACTGTGGTTTGTACTCATAGACGTATTTGTTGTCCCTTGCTAGTAATTGCACGTGTTGTTAATGTGTATACATTTTTTTGGATTTATTGATATTAATTAATTAATCTATCTAAATTATTTAATCAATTACACTGTTTTAAATCGATTTGGTACTGATTTTGATTTTTTTAATTATTTTTAAGCACTAAAAGCATCAAATAAATATACTTATCTGTAAATAATAATATGATAAATTTCTTAATCTTTTAAACAAATATTATTTTAACATTTTTATACTTTTTTTACAAAATGAAACCACTATTATAATTAACAGATTGACTTTAAGTTTGTGAGATGATTTTGTAATTTATAGTATGAGTTTGTGATTAATATGATATATATTGTGTTTTAGAGTTATGGCTAAAGGTAAGCTTTCAAACCGCCTGAAGAAGGAAAAAGCAAAAGTAAAATTAAAAGCTAAGAAATCTACCAATCAGTTGCCAAAAGGCTTAAATATCACAAATACATCATTTAAAGTAAAAAAAATCCTTATACGTGAACAATTGCAGCAGCGAGATGAAACGGAAATAATAAGCACTCATAAACTCAATATCAAAGTACGTAAGACAATCTATATTTGACTTTTATGGAATAATTATGAGTCTCAATTTAAGTATCTAATGTGCCAAACATGATACTTATGTAACATTATTGTTGAATTAATGTAATTGATATTTATATTAAAATTTTTAGAAAGTCAAAGAAAAATATATCAAAAATAGCTATATTTTTGTCGTATTTATAATCTTATTTTAAAATATTTGCAATTCTGTTTATGTTATCTTAAAATATCAATTGGTTTCAGGATCTACTAACGCGTCTTCAGCATCACAACTCGACAATGAGAGGGGAAGCTTTGAGACAATTAAAAGAAATCTTGTTGCGATACCCTCCAAAGACTCTACATTCACAATTGAGCTCTTTATTACGTGGAGTTGCAGCTTTATCTCTTGATAAAGAGAAAGATATACGAAGAGATTCATTAACTGCTCTGAATTTAATTCTTAGTCCTATCTCAAAGACACAGTTAATGCCCTTTCATGAAATTTTAATCTCTTATTTAAGTTGCGCTATGACGCATATTGATTTGCATGTGAAAGAGGATTCTCTTCTTTTTTTGGATGTGCTCATACAAAATTGTGGGAATATATTGGCAAAAAATAGTCATAAAATATTACCTAATTTTTTGGGCATGATATGCAGCTTACATGGTGAAGTTAAGCTGAACAGACAATTAACGACGACTTTAAAGTCCAAAAGTACTAGTGTAAAGTGGAGGATTAAAGTTTTGGAACGTTTGGCTAACATATTCACTTCTGTTATATACCACGAAAAACTTCGCATGAATACGATTCCGACGTTGACTGTAGAAGCGCAAAAATATACCGAATATGTTCCCGTTTACGGTGACAGTTCGATTCGAGATTGCGAAATTGATCTTGACAAAGATTTAAGTTCAGTAGCGAGTTGTACGAAAGAAACTATATTTATAGAAGAATTTGTAAAATATGTAGGTTTATTAATGCCACTGATGTTTGGTATTTGGCTCGAAGTATGTCCGGATGAGAAAATTGAGAATTATACTGAAATTACGAATTTCGGCGAAGTTGCCGCATTATTGAAAAATATCGTTGAAATTATACAATCGATTACTGAATACATTGATATGTTGGAATGCAACGTCTATGATGCTAAATATACGCACTTAAAGTATTGGTTTAAAGATACATTTCATAATTTATATATGAAGAATTTCCTGTCGAGATTTCCATATGAAAAAGCGAAACAAGTTAACGAATCCAGAAAACGGCAAGAAGATTTTTCGCAACTAAAATTTACCGAAGAATGCTTAGAACAGAACTTAGGACTTTGTCAAATTCATATATATTTTACATCTCTAATTAATCGCAATCAACAGCTTCCTAAGCTTACCAAAGACTATTGTATATCCATTGTGAAATATTTAAATGGTAGACTGATTTTCTACATAACTATTTTTGTATTGAGCCTTTTTTTCTTACGACACATTAATGTTTAACTTTATTGCAGGTGTTATCGAAAATTGGCGCGACTCACCTGCATTACCGCAATTGATTAAACTTTTGAAGACTTTATTTCTGAAAGCGGGTCCACTTTGGTATGCAAACCGTGTTGATTTAAATGATACTTTACAACTGATGATAGAAGCATCTTCTCACCTACCTAGGAAAGAATTCCAATCGCAATTATCTCTGATTATTGGTGATATTTTGTTAGATTGCAATTTAATTGCATTACACAGGTAAGAGTCATTGTACACTGGACGCGATGGGCGATGAACGATAAGCGATATCCAATGAGAGCTCTTTTTCCAAAAAAGTAGAACTCTGATTGGGTATCGTTCATCGCGTTCAATGTGCAAAAACCATAACAGTTTTAAAAATACTGTAATAGATATAAATTCAGCACATCAATTTTAATTTCATAAACCAGTATAATTAATGAATTCTATCGTAATCGTTACAAATGTATATTTTTTGTGCGACAGAGAAGAGATATTCAAAAACTTTGTTACGATCCTACCGAGCTTACTCTTAAGATCAAGCATAGACGATATGACAATTCGAATGATTTGTCAAATAGTTTTGCGCTTTAAGAAATGGATTCGGGAAGAACTGGTAACAAAACACGAAGCTATTATTGGTAAGAAATTAAATGATAAAAATTTATAATGTAGATTATATTGCACCATTTTAATTTTATTAATATTTTGTCCTTTTAGAAAATGCTAAGAATATCAACATTACAGGTTCACATAGTGATAGACAGTCCAGACTTATGATCTGTAATCTATTTTACTTTATAGATTCACAAATTTATTATTAAATAAAAAATCGATTAAATTACCAAAATTAATATCTTGTTTATGGTGAAATTCTTATTTAATCTTTCGACAAACATGAGAAGTTAATTCTTACATTTTTAAAGATCTGACAAAATACATGTGTTAGTTCTTAACATTTATCGTACGCTGTGTCGACCGAACGGCCGAACACACACGGACGCGTGACGTTCTCGCTTGCGTGGTGCTCGTATGGAGGGGGCCCTGCCTCTCACGTTGCCTGTTGCACGGAGCTCGAGTTCGCATCTCTCTTTTACCATCCCGGAAAATGGATGTGGCCATGTAGTTCCAGGCAGGCTGTAAAATGGATGTACGCGCCGCTAGTAGTACGGCCTAGTAAAAGCGTCGTACGAAAAACGGCAGCGTGGCCCCTCTCAGGTTTCTCTCTGCTGTAAACATGGTTGACAGGATAGATGAAATAAAAAATACATGTGTAATATCCTTGAATGATTTGTGAATGATATAATTTGATTTGAAAAATAAATGGTGTGATACAAATCTGACTAAAAAATAAATGGTGACTTTTACAGCTGTCACGTAACGTAAGTTATTATAATAATGTCATTATGTATTTTCTCTCTTTATGTCTTATTTAGATTGAATCAGTTGTTATGAAAAGGACATGAGATGTTGTCTTTGAAAAATCCAGTTAGTATATGTCATTCCTTATCGCCCAATACCCAGTATAATAAACATTCTTTTATATGAATATGGATATATTTACCATACTTTAAATATTAATTTCAGAAATCAAATTTTTGGAACTCTGTAAAATAATTATTCAACATTATGTGGGACGAAGACATAAGTACCGTTATTCTGCCTACTTTATCTACTGTAATTTTTTTTGTATTTACGATAAATTTCTTTCGACACCTCATGCGCAATCCCCACATTCAGATTAGAGATGTTACAAAGGAACATAATTGGAAGCCAATTACAGGAACAACTAAGGTATTTTGAAAGATTTATAGAACAATCTATAATAAATTGTTTTATGTTGGTAATAAAATAAACATCTAATATTTTTTATTTAATATTTTATTTTTCTCATAAGTTGTAGAATAACATGGTTTATTTTGATTGCATTTGATTAATATAATAATAATAATCATTTTTCACATACTGTAGTCTAACTTTCTTTATGTTGTTATGTAAATTGTAATATTTATTCATTTATTTACTAATTACAATAGTAAAAATAGTAATCTTTCCTCTTCACTAAAGGAAAAATCATATATATTTAAAATGTTAAATTAATAATAAGTTTAATGAACCAGAAATACAAAATTGTTCTTTGAAAAATTGTTTTTTCTATACAATGTATGTTTGTATACAGGCATATTGCTGCAGTATTTGTGAGACGTTATTGTTGAATCTTGATGGTCTTTTCTGTGATTCGTGTGGTGTGTGTGCGGATCGAGGTTGTATAAAGCTTGCAGACAAGCGGCTAAAATGCAAAGCCATAAATGTATCTCTCAACAATGATCAACCAATGAAACACCATTGGGTTAAAGGTGTGTTTGTGTTTGCTAACTTATACAATAGATATACATTCTTTTTATACATCCTGCTTCTTAAAGACACTTTTTCTTGTGTTTAAAGGTAATTTGCCACTTGTTGCTATATGTTATATCTGTGAAGAAGAATGTGATGTTGAACCCGGCCTCGCAGATTGGTGGTGCTGTTGGTGTCAAAGATGTGTTCACGAAGCATGTAAACTTGTTCTCTCTGATGTAATTATTACTGACATTTTTCATTGGTATATTCTTTTCAATCTTTCTTTGTTATGAAAAATTGGTATAGCTAGCTGAAAATTTTATATAGAAAATTGTTGTGCATTATTGCATAAGAAAATAACTTAACAAGATTTTGCATTTTGACTTATAAGAAAGTTTTCTTAAAATGAAATAGCATTTTGCTGTATCCTACTTATTTTATTCTATTTTGTTACATTATTTCAAGAAAGTAAAATAGAATGTATAAAAGATAAACACTTTCTTTTTTCAGATATGTGATTTTGGAAAATTTAAATTAATGATTATTCCACCAAAGAGTTTAGAAGTAATAAATCGACGTAGCACAATGAGACGCAGATTACATCTTCGTTCTGTTATACCACCGAATTGGCCTGATTGGAATCCGATCATTGTAGTAGGTAAGTAAAGATTAAAACATTTTAAAACTATCTATCAAAAAAATTAATGCATCTCAGAGCAAGTTAATAATATTTTTTCTGTACAGGTAATAGGAAATCTGGAAACAATGATGGAGGGCATATTTTATCTTTGTTCAGAAGATTATTGAATCCTGCACAAATCGTGGATTTAGCAGAACGCGATCCAGTTGCTGCTCTTGAATGGTGCCGTTTGTTGGGAAAAACGCCATGTACCATTCTTGTAGCCGGCGGCGATGGAACCATCGCTTGGTTACTGAACACCATTGATAAGCTCGGGTTAGAGGTGAACTTTTTTTATATTTGACCACACACTTGCATTTGCACATAAGCATGAGTACAAACAAATTTTTTATACGGCACAGCCCATTCCATCTGTAGCAATAATTCCTTTGGGGACAGGCAACGATTTGTCCAGAGTATTAGGATGGGGAAAGCAACATGATTCGCATTTGGATCCTGCAGAAGTCTTGCGGAAAGTGCAAACAGCAGCAAAGATCAAGTTTGACAGGTACATGATGAAAAGTGGTACATTTTTGCATTACCAATGAATTTGATCTACATGGAGGTTTATGAGATTTAGATGGTCTGTGACAATAAAACCATATAGCGCATTAGGATTCAGAGGCTCGCAACGAAATTTGTTTATGTATAACTACATAAGTGTGGGCGTGGATGCACAAGTAACTTTAAACTTTCATCGTACAAGAGAGAGTCGCTTTTACCTATTTAGTCATAGGATATTTAATAAGGTATTTTCTCGTTAAATAAATTGGTTTCTTGTTTATGTAGATCAAATATAATGATTTGTATGTGTTGCAGCTCTTGTACTTATGCTTCGGCACACAGCAAGTTGTGGAAAGAGAATGCAAAGATCTCGATAAAAATATGGAAGTTTATTTGGACGACAAGAAGATAGAACTGCCTTCTATTGAAAGCGTAGTGATACTGAACATTCCATCTTGGGCTGCTGGTGTTGATTTATGGAAAATGGGAATGGAAGGTAAATATAATAACAATTTCTATATAAAAAAGTATATAAATATACTTAGATGTTATTTAACACCAATTTTATATGTTTAACAGACGATCCAAATTCGAAAGTACAAAGTATTAACGATGGCAAGTTGGAAGTAGTGGCTCTTTATTCTTCTTTTCATATGGCTCAGCTGCAAGTAGGACTCTCAAAACCGTATCGGATTGGTCAAGCTAGCACTGTAAAGGTATCTTTCAAATTTAATACTTAAAAAAGAATCTTAAAAGAAAAATGTCCTGGCATCTATAATAAATAAATATTGTTATTGTTTAGATAAAATTATTGCGATCATGCGCTATGCAAGTGGATGGTGAGCCTTGGTATCAACAGCCTTGCGAATTCAATATAACATACTGCAATCAGGCATCTATGTTGATGAGCAACGACTTTTAAGTATATGGCGTGAGGCCATTTATGCATTTATAAATGCATTCGTACCTTATTGCTTTAGTATTTGCTTACTTGCCTAAATCTGGTTATAAATTAGTTTTTTGATGATTAAAATGTGAAGACATATAAATCTAGTCGACATTCTAAAATCTAAAATGTATGATTTTATGAATTTTAAGCTGTTTCATAATTCTATTTATTAATATCGCACATTTATAATAAAAATATATAAATTATAAATATGTAAAACAAAAAATAATAAAAATATATAGATATTTATCATGTTTAAGATATTTCTAATAATTAAAATGTTTTATTTTTTACTTTTGTTTTCTTTCTTTACATTTATTTGCAATATAATTAATATGTATTTTTTTTAATTACTTGTGTACAAATTTGTTAGCAACTAATTTCCGATGATTTAGAATTCATTTGTTGTAAAACCAGTCAATATTTAGTCTTTTAATCATATGGTTTTAAAATAAATATTTTATTTTGAAATTATGACAGAACGACAGATGCACTTTTTATTAATATTGCTGACCATTTGGATTTTACACGAGGCGGCTAAAATGATAAAGGAAGTTGATTAATGTATACTAAAAATTCGAAATGATTAATTGCTAAAACGATTTCTTTATGACGAAATAAACAATAATAAATATTGAATATCAGAAATTTCAAATGAGACAGAAAGATAAACCGTGAGTACATATTAAAATAATTTAACGTACAATTATTATACAATTACAATTCGTAAAAATAGTACGATGTACGAGAAATAAACTATTATTGTTAGCATTCTTCATAAATATTTTGTGACGCAATAATTATTGGATTTTCTTTTCTAATATATTAAAAAATTTCTTTTCTAAAGCAGAAGCCAAACTGATCGCATTTGTATCGAAGAATTCTGGCAAGCTGCGGTGGTCCACAATAGAAAACTGTAATTTTTCCTTTTTTCTTATCTTGAAGCTGCTTGAATACTTTATCCCAATTTGGACGACCCGCATTTGTTCTGGTTTTCAAGCCCGTGATAAGATCTCGTTTTTCCTAGTTACAAGGTAATGACAATAGTCAGAATTAAAACAAATTTTATCATCATTGTATAAACTACTAAAATAATTACTAAAATCATCTCTGACCTTTTCATGCAGAAGATCCAGCGCTAACTGCAAGCCAACTGCTTTCATATCATTTTTTTGTAATGCGCTTGTGATGTACATATGCATCTCTAAAAAGCGTTCCATAGTGATACCTAACTCGGCTTGTTCTATCTCAAGTTGAGATAACAAATTTACAAACCACTCGAACGAACGTTGATCGCGATTAATCCAAAAGAAGTCCACCTATAAAAACATCCCGCTAGATCTTAATGCGACAAATACAATTGAAAAAGTATTTTATACATTTACATTATCATTCTCTATAATCTATTTAATATTTTAAATTTTGAAATTATTAATATCGAGTATTATTGCAGTAATGATGACTTGTAATAGTAACTCAATACACATAATACATATTTTAATTGTATAAAATTCTCATTTTACTAATTTGAAAATTGAAATCTCCGAATGTATTTACCTTTCGTAAATTCATTACAGTGGGCGGAATTTCGCAGGCCCAAGAGAACGAGCATTTTGGACACGTATGTCTCGCTTTCCAGTACCGATGCATAATTGATTGCAGTATAGAAGCGAAAGGTGTGACTCCGATTCCTGTGCCAATTAACACAGCGTGTTGTGCTTGGAAAATGTGGCTCGAGGGTGCTCCGTACGGGCCATCTAAAAAGATCTACGCTGACGATACATTATTTAGTCGAACCTGTTGATTCGATTACTTATTGGAGAGACGTAAGCTTTGTCGCAAATGCCATAAAGCTTGTATAAAGATGAGAGAAGGCTCTTTACCTCCAATGGTTTTCCTACTGGATAATTTATAGTTGAATGAGAAGAATGTTCCGATTTGAAATCTAAGCTTTCTAAACTTGTATCCATATCTTCACCGAAACCTTTTTTCAATCTTCCTTCCTCCGCCGCAATTTGCATAGCTACTGGTGTAACTGGTATTGTTTTATTTCTTCTCATCACATTCTCATTTGATGCTATAAATGCATATATAATAAATAAAAATATGATACAAAATTTATACATTTTAACATATTTTTTATATGCTGATATTATCGATACGAATTATATAGTTGTATTTTAAACTGTTTATAAATGCAGTTAAGTGCTATAAGTAATTTTTTGCCATAACTTACCTGTATTTGGCAAGGCATCGATTTCATAATCATATGTTTCGAGACTGGGTGTTTTAAAAGCGATAATGGTTGGTTTCGTTCGCATATACCGAAAACTTTGAGCTAACGATTTATTTTGCGGACTCAAATAAGCTAAGCCCAATGACTTTAATCGCGCTTGTTTCACCTGGCACTCATCAAAACTCCTCTCCGATTCTGATCTCGTATAATCACGAAGTCTATCATACCATTAACAATTTTATTTACAAATTAATAAAATATTTGGATCTGATCACAATGATAAGGATAACTTTTTAAACGTTTACTTACGCTCTAAGTCGTTCCTTCTTTTTCTTTTTTGTTTGCATGTCGGGCATCGAATGTGATTTTTCAAGTGGCATTTTGCTATCAAGAAGTAATTGATGGAGTCTCTTATCTTTTCTTGCAGACGTACCTGTCCATCCCTTATTTAATTCTAGTACATCTATTAGTTAAATTTACGTATCATTCAATATTAATTTAAAAAATGTAGTTTTAATTACATTTTGATATAATAATGTGATTTTAATTAATTAATATAATTAATATAAAATTTATTGATTTAAATTTTTTAAATTTAATTTTTTAAATATTTTAGAATATGATTATATAAATATACATAATAAAACTGTATAATAAAACATAAGGAAATTTTAAATAAATCTTACCTTCTGGAGTCCTCAAATAAGATTGATTACTGATGGGTGTGTGTGAAGGTGATACAGTCTTTGCTAAATCAGATACAAACACAGGATTGTTAAGACCAGCATGAGACACAGATTCCGTAGACGGTCTTCGTTTTACAATAAGTGGTGGTTTCTTGCCATTAAGGAATCTGTATAAGTAATTACAAATGTACATTACGTGCAACACATCCAATTATTTGCTAATGGCGTGACAATTTAATAAAAGACTTACGATCTCTTTCGGGAAACACTTGTAGCATCGCAGTTCTCGACAGGTAAAATATCGCCACGGTGAAGTTTTATTTGTTCTTTCTCAAAGTACGAATATAAACTATTGGTCCATTCGCCAACTGCGCGAATGTGCAACCACATATAATCTATGTAGAAATAATATTAACATTAAATGTAACATCGGCATACTGTTAATTAAATATATTTAAATAAAGATTTTTATTTTACCGTGTTAAAACACTTTTGCAACTGTTATATATTCAGCTCTATTATATTGAACTGATGTAATATCCGACATTTTATATTACACTATCTAATACAATGATGCAAAAAATAATAAATAATAAACGTAAAATTACGCGACTGATTCCTGACTTATACCGAAGTATAAACATAAAAATACGTGACCGGCTTCTGACTTACACGAAAATATAAACGTAAAAATACGCGAATGGTTGCGAAAGTGTTACATAGCTTAGTCTTCAAATAAACAAAATTTTAATAATAAAGTTTAAGTATAAACATGTTAAAAATAAAATAAATAAAAGCAAATTTACATTGCAAAGTTAAATGTATCAAACATTGTGTGTTATTTCCACTATTTATTCTTGCAAGATAAATTATATTATGTTCTATACGAGTAATATTATTTAAAAATATTCTTAAATTAAAATAAACGCAATTACAATGACAAAATGGTAATAGTGATATAAAATTGCAACAAATAGCCCACCTTCTTGTTCCGGAGCACTGCTAATGGTAAAAGGATGCCATTCGAATTTTGCTATCACTGGGATATTTACAAACACATAATCGCCGGGATGAAAGTGAAAATGATGTGGTCTCTTAATGACCAAATGAGTTACCTTTGAAGGTAACAAGAGACCGGAACTTATGTATGTCTTTCCACGCTGAGAACGTAACCACACAAATTGACGAATTTTTTCTATTAAAAAAATGATGCCTGGGCCAATAAACCACTTCCAGAAGTTTGGGCCGTGAAAAATTATCAAAATCCAGAATGGTATGTACAATAGATGAGACCAATAAAATATCTAGCAATAAAAAATTATTATAATTAAAAGAAATTAAGAGAAAATTAACTTAATAAATTTATAATTAAAAGAAAGGTGTTATTGCTTTACGATTATAAGAGAATTATAATTGATAAAAGAAATTATAAAATATTACTACCTCAAAGCAACCTCCACGCCGTACAAATGGCATGGAACAAACGATCATTATGACGAGTATAATAAGTAAAATTACTCCAGTTGGATATGCACTGCCTGCTACCAAGCCAAAATATCCAGGTCGGCTCGTTAATAACCATTCAGACATCGTGTAGTTTCCACTATTCATTTTTTCGTCTTTTATTATTACCGTACCTGTATAAACAGATGTATAGTTACATACAGTTATCAATTGTAATTTTTTATTATAATTAAATATACGATAAATCTCTTCACGTACGTATTGATTGATTTTGTAAAAAAAGCGCTTTAAGATAATATAGCACTTTATAACTGAATTTAAAGATTATTAAATATACCGCAGTAAACGAGGTGCATCAGAGTATGTACAATGCCGAAAACTCCGATCAACATCCCTGTGATTTTATGAAGATATATATGATGATCTAGAGGTACGATGGAGTTAAAGCCGTGCGTTCGCAAAAATGTTATGCACTGACGCAGCATTAAAACCAGGATAAACGTGCAGTCGAAGTTTAAACATTGTCCTGAAATATATTTTCATTTTTTATAATTAATTCAGTCTTAGATTTGAGTTGTTCTTTCGTACAATAATTTCATAGAAATTTAATTTGAAGCTCAATTGTTAAAATTTGTAGAAAAGAAATTTAATTCTGAATTTGTTAAAAAATTTGACTAGAAAAATTGTTACAGTATATTTGTGTGAAAAACAGATAAAAAAGATAAAACTAATTTTATATTGCTGCGCAAATATAAATATTGTTATTTTTTTACCACTTGCACGAGCGATCATCACGTAGCCACTGTAGTTTCGATATTCATAAAGACGAGAGACGAAGAGGGCCACATTAATGAGAAGAAACATCGAAATGAAGGCAATGTAGACGTAATTATTTTTCATGTACGGTTTTGTGAGTTGATACGGACGAAGGGAGGAAAATACTCCCAAAAAGGATTTTTGTTTCAGCTTCGGCTGTGGTGGTATCAACCAGCGATCTATGCTGCAATTATTATATCCTTATTCCTTCTGTTCATTATACAGGGTGTTTCATAATGTCCGTGCCAACACGCGTGTGCGGGTAGAGTGCGGTAAACTGAATAGAAAAGTCCTTTATTGTTTTGCAATTTTTGCAATAATAATTGGGATATTAATTAAAAAGGATTGACGAATAATTGCGCGTTGCACGCGGCTAGATTATGGGCTGTACACTTTAGGCGTAACAGCAACGAGGATCGCACGGCAACGAAAAATAACAACGCATGGCAAGAGCAAGAGTAATACATGTTGTTATTTTTCGTTGCCGTGTGATTCTCGTTGCTGTCACGCCTAGAGTGTACAGCCCATAATCTAGCCGCGTGCAACGCGCAATTATTCGTCAATCCTTTTTAATTAATATCTCAATTTTTTCTATTCAGGACTTTTCTATTCAGTTTACCGCACTCTACCCGCACACGAGTGTTGGCACGGACATTATGAAACACCCTGTATATTGTAATATTTGTAAATTTTAAAATTTTTTATATCTTATAATTATTTATCGAACCTGGTCGTGAGATTTTCCAGTAGACCATCGTGTTCCTGTAACTGTCTTTTTAAAGCTTCAAAGGTAATCGCTCCTCTGTTACCCTGATCAGCATTTTCCAAAAGCGCAATTGTTAGATCTTCGATTTGTTCGTCGCTAAACTTCATGCCATTCTCTTCCATACAGGCTCTCATCACATGTTCCAGCTCGCGAAGTTGTATTAATCCATCGCCTTTCAAACAGGTGTAAAATAAAAATAAATTATTTATATCCAAACAAAAATATTTGGAAAGATTTCTTTATTTTTTTAGATGTATTGTAGTTTTTAAGGAGCTTTTTGAATTTAATATATTATTATTAATTAAGATTTCTTATTTTACTTCCAATTTTATTGAAAAATAAGATTCATAAATATTCCATGTAAATAAATATGTAAATTATAATTGTTACCATCAATATCATAAACTTTGAAAAGAAATCTAATTTTATCGTCCGGAGACTTTCCAGCAAATTGATGCATAGCATCCAGAAATTCCTGAAGTGATATCGTGCCCGAATTGTCCTTATCGAATATTTGAAAGACTCTCTCGGTGAAGAATGACTAAAAGATAATATTTTAATTACAAATAACAATTAAAATCCTACACTTAAGATAAAAAATGCATATATTTCTTGCTTACGTTCTTCGAAGTTACAATCGTTTTAAATTCCTCGCGACGTATTTCTCTTTCATTTCCAACAGTCTGCTTAAATATCTTTTCCAGCCATTCGAGATTCGTTTTATCAAAACCAGCATGTGGTCTAAAAAAATTTTAATTAGTTATAATACATAACTATGAAACGTTAGTGAAATTAAAAAATGTACATATTACCTGGTATTACTCACACCAGATATAAATTCCATGATTTGAGCTAATGTTACACATCCTGAGTTCTCTTGATCAATTGACCGAAACAATTTGTCAACGATCTGCGTCATAAAAATTGATTATACAAAAATATGAAACACTTGTAGATATTAATATATGTTCCGAAAATTTTAATTTATTTTTCAAAAATTTAAAAGGTTGTTTTTCTTTCTTTAAATTTTAACTTATATATAACAATTATTTTTTTCGTTTACGTATTTGCTCTAGATATAAAATTGCATAGCTCACCCCTTTTGTATAAAAGATCTGTTGAAAATTGGAGAGATTTACTGGATTCTCTCCGCATAGCACGTATGCCACACTTTCGATTTGATCTATGAAATCATTTTGCTTCTCGTTTCTGATAATGGAAATAATAAAATTAGACAGATGTATTTAAAGTATGAGAAAATTATGATGAATGCAGAAATACGAAGGGGTTCTCAAAACAAATTATTCTTACGTCAGCCTCCCCTTGAGAAATTCAATCCATTCATCCTGTTTCAATAGCTCATCACGATCTTGATCGAACAGTATAAATAATTTACCAAGAAGTCTCTGGAAAACGTTAACAATTGTGAGTGATATGTAAATATTAGTTTATGTGTTATAAATTTTTTAAACAGGTAATTTAATTAGGTAGTTAACAGGTAATTAATTAGATAATTTATTACATTACTCTTCCGGTTGACACTTTTATTCGAATCATGCAGAAAATATAGCGATGTAATTATGGCAAAAACACTTTATAAGTCTGATTAATTTGCATAAATAAGACATATATAAAATTAATATTACAAGCTGCTTGAAAGACTGCATATCTGATACATGCAAATTATTTAAAGTGCGTCTTTTATATTTATTATATGTCGATAATAAAAATCTGGAACGACATAAAGTTAATATGTGATTATGTGATAATAGAGATCTATTTATTAAAATTCTAGCCTCGGGTGTATATGACGATTTTAACATCGATGTGACGCGTATCGATCACCATCGGTGTAGATCTTGACGGCAAGCTATACACGCATGTATTTCGCTCTCGATCGTTAAGAAATGGGTCAATGTCATAAGAGATTACACAGCGTGCTTCCTCGGCACAAACGTGATCCAGAAACATGTCCCAACCTCGTGGGATATAGTTAGCGAGTATGATATATGCGGGCTGTATTCTTAAACCATTATTTATAACTCAGGTTTGTAGAACATGCTTACAGTGATAAATTTTCGTTATCTCAAGTATAAATAGACTTTTCTTTAAAAAAAATTCAATTTTTTAGTGCTAATGTTTTTGGACATTAATTACAGAGATTACAATACGATTTTAATTTTATATTAATTTACGCAGAAAAGTTTATTACAACAATAAAATCAAATAAAATACAATTTTAGTTATGGGAAAAATTTGTTGTTAAAAAATGCATTTAAAAATATAACTGGCCGTAAATAGATAATATAAAATTGAATGTAAGATAAATAAAATAAATCCAATTAAATATACAACGTTCAAGTGAGAATTCTAATATCTAATTTGAAACTGCAGACAAAGATTAAAATTTGCGATGCTGGAAATTACGATGAACAATCTGTCCGCCTTCTAAAATAAGCGAGAGAGAGAGAGAGAGAGAGAGAGAGAGAGAGAGAGAGAGAGAGAAGAGAGAGAGAGAGAGAGGAAATCTGATGTCTCTAATCAATCATTCTTAATTTCTACCTCTCACATACATACATCAGAAAAGAGAAGATAGTAATCAATCATAGCAATTATATAGATTCGATGTGACAATCTACTCACGTTTGTAATTTTGAATGAAGATGTCTAATTAAAAAGCAGATTTTGATGTTATTATTTACTACTAGAAACTTGTATTAAATGTTTATATTATATATTATAAGCAAGCATTATTGTAATTATGTTTTAATAATTTTTCTGATATTAACAATGTGCAGTTTAAAAGAAACCAAGTTTCAAACAGAAAAAAAATCTTATTTTTTTTAGTTTAATTAAATTTAAAATTTTTATTTGTTTTCTATTTAGGATTTGATAAAAAAAACTAGATATTATAAATAGATATTTAACAATACGAGATCAATAATGACAGCAAATAGTATATTGGCAATTGGAGCCGATGGCGATTAAACGATTAATGAATGGTTAATAAACGAGGCATCGGTCCCAATCAACATGTGCTTTGCTCTACGATTGGTCTCAACAATCGATCGATCCCAAGCGACCAGGAGACGCTCGGGGCATCAAGGCCTCTCGCCCGAGGCGATCGGCCACCTTGATCGAAAACCGGGGGGCCCTCGATAGACCCCCTCGTTTGCTTCGATTATATCGTCACCGCCGCCTCGGGTCTCCTTTTCCTACGCGGATTATCGAACGTGAACTCAATGTTTGCTGATCTTACAAAGGAGATGATTGTCCACTAAATGGCACAGGCTTGAGATTGCAAATCTCAGTCAAAAGCATTTTAATTCCGATAAAAAAATTATCGTCTATGTAACTTTTCTTATTTAGCAATGTATTTTTTTTATCATTAAGAGATACTAACACACACTGTTACTGTATTACACACACACATGGATACATAGACTTAATTAATTTTTATTCTGGAACTTATTTGAGTGTTTTTTTATTGTCGAGTAATAGAAAAATAATTTTTAAATTTTAAGTGATAATACTATTGTTCAACCAAATAAATTTTTATTATAATCTTTCTTAGTACCTTTATATAATTTAATAATTATTAAAATGGCAAAATTTATTATCATTTATCACTGATTTAAATTTTAATAAATTAAATTAATTAATTAATAAACGAATTAATGTTAATATTGCAACACACAAATGCATGTAATATCGAGCATATTGCATTGTATATATATTTTACGAGCTATTTAAAATGTAAAGATGTAAACTGAATCATTATTCCATGTTTCAATATAGATGATAAATATCTGTCACATTTGTCAAACAGGATTGCACAATGTACGGTATAATGATAGCGCATTTTGTCGAAGTGTGAAATGGATGACTGACAATGAATAGACGATTTGAATCTCATAGAGCACTAATGTGAGTGGAGAAATACATTTGCTCTATTTTTTTTTCTCGTGCCTGTTGTGATACGATCGAAAAGAAAGTACGTGTAGTAGTTTTCGAGAAATAAAAATATAGAGAGATCACCTTTTTATATTCTCCTATAATATTTTTTAAATATTACAAAGAAGACGAATAATATCGTTTAATTCTCAATTATAAATTATAGTTCTAAGTTTAAGTTAAATATTTAATTATGGATTTACATTAATTAATGAATCCTTTAGTTCAATTTTTGATTAATGACTATTATGCTTTAAATTATTATTATTATTAAGTAAAGATAATATTAAATTCTAGTACAATTCTGACTATTATTCTAGTACAAATAAATTACTTGAGAGTGTCAATTAAAAAAATCTATAAATTTTCATTTCTAAAAGAAAAGTAATTGAATATACGAGCTAATATCTTCGATAATGGTGACGTAATTTTGAAGTTTCATGTCTAGTACCACGCGAACCTTCTTTTACTTCGCGAAAGAAAATGAGGCAGCAAGCCAATAATTACAATAATTGCAATTCTTCATGGTCACTTTAAGAAAGTACCAAATTTCAATCAGGACACTTCATCGTATTGTAAACTTGTGTGTTAGATTATTAAAGAGAGAATATAATTAGAGCCATACGATAGTGCAAGCACGAATCAAAGTTTTTATATTTATTTATTTAAATCCACATTTACTTTTACGATAAAATAAACACTAAAAATAATGTGTTTGTAATTATTACAAAACGAAGTAACTTGTTGATACAATTTTTAAAAATAATACAATTATATTACATACAATACAAGAAATAATACAATTATTTCTTACGAGGTGATTTTGAGAAAAGTTTCTTTAAAACTGGATACTGCAAAAAATTGTATCAAAGTTACTTCATTTCATAATAATTATAAACACATTATTTTTAGTGTTTATTTTATCGTGAAAGTGAATGTAGATTTAAATAAATAAATATAAAAACTTTGATTCGTGCTTGCACTATCGTATAGCTCTAATTATATTATGACAATTACCTTTCTGTACTCTTTAAATTACTCTTTTGTAAAAGTTTTTTTCATGTTTTGCTTTTAATTGACTAATTAACAGAAATTTCATTGAAAAGTATCTTCAGCCAGTTAATTATGAAAAAAATTTTAGACTTATTTGTGTATGAAGTTAATGTTTTTATAACCGTACTCCTAATTTCATCAATTAAAATAACATTATCCGACGATTTAAATTGCTTGACCGCGTTTCTTTTTATTAATCGTTCTCTCAAGTTTTTAGCTTTTTGAGATTTAATGGTTTTTTTATTTAGTATTAATTGCTTTCTTGTAAAATATGATGTGTAATTTTATGATTTCTTTTAAAAAACAACGTTTTACTTATTTTATATAAAATACGTATTGAGATATTTTTTCGAAACAATCACCGTACAATTAGTCTGCATTATAAAACTGGTTACTATATAACTGAGGTTGCTATATAATCATCGTATTTTATATGAACGAAAATGACATGATTTAATTTTACTTGAAATCTTGTCATAACTTTATCCGAAATTTTTATATATTTCAAACAAACAGAAGGAAATAAATTTACAGTTAATTTTAATTAAATTATGATTATTATATAATATTTTTTATCTAATTTTTATTTCAATCGTGTACGTACTTGATCTTCGAAGAGTCTTCTAAAAACTTCCTTACTATAGCGTCCCGATCCCTCTCCTTGCAATATCTCCTTGCACTCTTTTAGGGCAGTCGCTCTTCTCTTCTCGATCAAACATTCTTCCTCCATACAACTAATATTCTCTTCCATGTTACAAAGCACTCCTTGCGACAAGTGTTGAAAAGAATAAGGATAATACCAAAGAAATGAGACCACAGCCACTTGAGCAATTCATCACGAGATCAACAAGATTCCTGGCATTTTTTCTTGCTCGCTTCGCTCGTCGTTCTTTTTTTGGGATACACACGATTCAATGAGTCAGTCATGTACATGAATGGAAACTTATATTTGTAAATCTTCAGTCTTGTATCAATATGTAGAACATAACAATTTACGTATAGTTGAAATATCGTATAATATAGTTAAAATAAAAATGAAATAAACATATCAAATAGTAACTAATATTACATAATGGTAAGAAATTTTTTTTGCAAAAGAAGTAAAAAAAAAGTTATATGTTCGTAATAAAAGTGGAAAAATTTAAATAAATTGGCTTTGGGTAATTTAGACGCTCGACAATTTATGCCTTACTTCTATTGTTTACCTTATTTTCACACAAAATTCGGAAACACAGATAACGTCAAAACGCGAGTAGTGTGGCTCTCTATTTTACAACTGTAAGATACAAATTAATGCGGCTGTTTTTTCATAAATTTTCCAAGAAACTTGTGGTAATTAAGGAGCAACTTGAAAAATTTTACTTCAAACTTGAATCAAAGTTCAAGCCGACTTGCGATCACATTTTTTTATGGATAAGCAACAGATAATAATTAATTAGTATGTAACAGTTCTATTTCTCCAAATTCGAGAAAGAAGACTATAGTTTAATGTACGGAAACTTCTCACTTATCACGCGTATCAACGAGCGAAATTGCCGTGTTAAAGTGTCCCGGCATTACTGAGAGAAGTCCTGAATGAAAATCATCCTCGGGGTATCAACGAACCGGCGTTTGATGGTGTCGTCATCTGGCTGGAGGTGTTGGTGCCAGTAAACGATCGTATTGGATCACAGGTAAGCACAGTGAGAGAAAGAGAAAGAAAGACAGAGCGCGGTAGGGAGACAGACAAATCGGTTTTTGCCTGCAATCCAGATCGCGTGGGGATAGAGGAGACAGACAGCCTTTCACTTTTTGACAAGTTCTGGGTTCTTTCTCCCTTGTCATGCATTTTTCCTTCTACCAATATTTTGTTTTCAGTCTTTATCTTTGCTTTTGAGTCCGTGTGCAGGTGCGAACCACAGTCCTTTTTCCGGAATATACACGGATACGTGGATAATTTGCGGAGAAACGAGTTTCATTCCGTTTCTGTCTTTTTCTAACTGTTTTCTCGGGTGTTTGTTCAACTTTCCTACTTATTTTATCGCGACTCTTCTGCCTGGCGTTTCTCGATTGAATAAATTTCAAACACTTTATTTTCCGATCTTTCGCACGCAGATAATAAATTCGTCAGTAATAACATATTTTTGTCATTGTTTACTATTGAAATTTTTTCATTCATCCTGGTAAAAGTATATGTTACGTAAATTGCATTAGTAAGAATTATTTACAGTTTTAACGAATAATATTATAAAAAAATTTGCGTGTAGACTGTCATTTTATGTGTATGCGTTATGTTAATAACGTCTTTTAATGATTCAATAATTAACAAGGATATTAAGCTTTTCTCGACTTTGATGAAGAAATAAATGTTATTCCGCTTCTGTTGGTGTGTGAGACAAGTGCAATGAATTGGTGTATGCTGGTATGTTATGAGTGCTTATTAAGACATATATCCGGCTTTCAATACCAGTTTGTACTGACAATTTTTTTCTCCTTTTTTTCTTCATCAGAAATATAAAAGAGAAAGTTACAATGGCCCAATGCAGCTAAAAACTTATAAGTATATATATTTATCGGAAATCATTAAATTAATTATTATTGTAGTTGTAAAATTTCATGTGCACGCGCATATATAAATATTTTTATAATATTAATGAATAAAACAAAAAAGCTTTCGCTCTTACATTACAGACAATACATAGAAATTACGTGTATTACGTGATGCAAATATATTAATTGTTAATTTAAAAAAACAATGCATTTTTCGCTGTACTCTGTATATAATATTAAATGCTGCTCAAAGATTGAAGTTTTAGCCGGAATTACTTGTACCACATTCGATCCATAAAGGTCATTCGGAGGTGCGCTTGCGCTTTCCGGAGCTTTTAGCACCTGCGCTTTAGAAGTCGTGCACAAGCCGAGTCTTCGACGCGTTTTGTTTGCCTCCTGGTCTTGGACAGGATCTGACAGGATCAACAACGAGCTATGAAGGTATCCTGAAAATCAACGCCTTTCTGAGATGAGTTTCTCACCTTTCAAGCTAATCTGATGTACGTTAATTTCTGGGAGAGAAACTCCATGAAGTAACGTGGACTCAGTCTTGAACAAGGTCTGGAAAATTAAACAAACATAAAATCATTATTTAGAAATTAATGCAAATTACAGAATAAACTAAGAAATATCGAATATTTTTACAGATATTTTAACAAATATTTTTACAGATGACGCTCGCGATTCGACTTAGCGATATATTACTCTGTCTCTTTTTAATTCCCGGTGTAATAAAATGTTACAACGTTCCTTGCACATTCAACACTATGTGCATGTGTTGGGTCCAAGATGACGATGACGATTTTACAAAAATGGATATCAGCTGCATGGGAGTTCCATTCGCACGATTTCCAGGTACATAGAAATTTATTGTCAGCATTAAAACTTGTTAGATAAATTATATTTCTTTTATAATTATTTTGTTACAAAAATATAGATAATATTTTATACTTTTTCATTAAAAATATACAGCATTATTTTATAGATAAGTTTACTTTTTTCTTTATAATATTGCCGATGTTTTGATCTACAAATTAGTATAAATTTTGAAAATAATTAAATAAATAAAGTAAAACTTACAAATATTTTAGATGTATCGGTGAGTTATGTGGCTCAATTGGATATCGCTGGCTCCGGAATGCAAGTGTTGGACAACGACGCGCTTGCAAGTTCCGCAGGAGTCGAAGCTTTGGGACTGATGAGTAATCGATTATCCAGTATAGGTGACAAGTCACTGTTGTAAGTTTACTTTTTATTATTTGCAAAATATATGTATAAATAGAATATTTAGACTGATTTATATCTCATATATAGATTTTAAATAGTATTTAAAAAATACACGCAGATATCAAAATTTAATTTATAAAATAATTTTTTTACTGTAATTTTATATATATGTAGACAATTATTAATATCTTTAATATTTTTTTGTAAGAATTATTGCGGACAGTCTACGTTCACTGGATTTAAGCTACAACTCCCTCGAGGACGTGCCTTTCAAGGTTTTCCGCGATCTAAAAAAATTAAATTGGCTGAACATGCATAGGTATGTAATAAACGAATTTTACAATTTATTAATTGAGGTACTCTCTGATGAGAAAATTTGTTAACGATCAGTAATCATATAACATCATTGGACGGCGATTGGGGTCGCAGCAGAGAAACCTTGACGAATGCATTCTTTGGTGACAACTCGATCACTGAAGTACCCAGAATCTTTTCGAGTTTTGCTGCACTAGTATGGTTGAATCTAGACAGCAACAATATTGAGGAACTTCCCAAAGATTGTTTGCCACCGAATATGCACACCTTAAGTATTAACAATAATCTCTTGAAAGAATTCCCGCAATCTTTGGGAGGCCTGAAGGAGCTTACTTGGCTTTACATGCGAGGAAATGATCTCAAGTATTTGGAACTGCCAGATTTCCGCAGCTTCAGTTTGGAGCTGATCGACATTAGCGAGAATTCCATCGAGCGGATAAAAACACCCACCTTGAGCAATCGCACTTTGAAGGTGCGAGACTTTAATCTCGCCGGGAACAAGCTGACTTCTTTGCCGAGCAAAATGTTTGATCGTCTTGAAATCAGAAGAATCCACTTGTCATCGAACAATATCAGATATGTTGACAACAAAGCCTTCTTCGGTCTGGAAGACAGTCTCGAATATTTAAATCTAGAGAACAACGATTTATCGGCGGTACCAAAGGCTGTCAGTCAGTTGAGGACATTGTCGTACCTTTATTTGGCTAATAATGAGATCAGAAATATCTCCGGTGAGGCTTTTCAAGAATTTGCGGAGTATCTGAAAGCTGTCTCTCTTGCGACTAACAATTTAGATGCAGTACCTGTGGCTGCTTTGTCCAGGTATTTTTGACATTTTTATATAACATAAATTTTTTTATTATTTTTTATTATTTTTAAAATAAAAAATTTGTAAATGTAATATTTATAGAATTTCAACTTTGAACGCAAAAATCAGTAGCAAGATAATAAGTGTGTTCCGTGACAGTTATATGATAGATTGTAAAGGTTAAAATAAATTATATAGCGCAGAATATAAACTACTAATATAAGATCTTAATAGAATAAGAAGAAAGTTTGATGCAACATATTTGATGATCATTTTTCGAAACAGATGCCAGAGGCTACTGCATCTGAATCTCGGCTACAATAAGATCTCTCACGTTGAGCCAGGTGATTTCGAGTGGGCCGAGGACCTTGAGATCCTATTGCTCAGAAACAACATCCTGACGAAACTGAAAGCTGAGACCTTCAAGGGAGCCGGTGCGTTATTCGTAAATTCTGTTGCGAAAGTACATGATACGAAATCAACAACATATGTCATAGTCAATGATTCAGATTAATTATTTACACTGTTTGTATTATATTTTTCATTATAATTTAATTTTCTGATATTTATAATAATGAAAAAAACGATAAAGTTCTTCGTATGAGTATTTTAAATATATATAAATTTTTTTAGGCAAATTAAAGGAACTCAGCTTGTCCTTTAATCACTTAATGGAACTCGATGATGACTGCTTCGTTGGTATCGAAGAAAGTCTGGATATTCTTGAACTAAGCTTCGCCTTCGCTACAGACATTTTTCCTCAGCGTGCGCTCAGACCGCTCTTAAATCTTCGATGGCTGGTTTTGGACAACAATAATTTCCAGACAATCGAGGCGACAGCTTTTTATTCTTTTCAACAACTGCGTTATATTAACATGGAATCAAACCGGTTACATTATTTGCCCGAACGAATATTTCTCTCAAGCGTACATCCGGAGTTGAGGGATGTCAAATTGGGATACAACTTCTTGGAAACGATTCCGGAATCGAGTTTTCATAATCTAACCGAGCTGTTGTCTCTCGATCTAACCGGCAATCGAATAAAAATCTTGGCATCTGGTTCCATCATGGACTGCCCAAAACTTGTCACCATATCATTAGCCTACAATAGAATACAAAAAATGGAGAGAAACGCTTTGTACGGCTTGTCTAGCTTGCGTTTCCTTCATTTGGAGTTCAACAAGCTGACTGCGCTGGATTTGGGCGCTATAGCAGAAATCGGCGGCCCCGATTTTGCTCTGAACGTCTCTTATAACGCGATAGCGTTCGTTGACTCGGGATCCACGATGAACAATCTCACTAGGCTGGATCTTGCATTTAATAACATAAGTCATTTATCCGCGGACACATTCTACGGCACGCCTGATTTGAAAAGCTTAAATCTGCAAAACAATTTTCTTGCAACGATCGATCCAGGTAAGAAAATACAATCTAAGTATCTGAAAATTAATTTTTTATAGCTATAACTTTTTTTATCGAAGATACAATTGATTTGAATTTATCTTTTAAATTACAAAATCAGCATTTCAATTTTCAGACAAAGAAATTCTTGCATAATATATATTGTTTTTTTTTTCAGGAACATTTGCACTTCCTCATTTGGAAATTCTAGATCTAAGTGAGAACAAGATAGACACATTGCGCAAGCAATCTTTTCATGGTTTAGAGTCTCTCCAGCGGTTGGATCTTGGCGGAAACGAAATCATTCAGCTGTCGACTGAACAGTTTAGAAACTTAAAATGTCTGAGAATCCTGAATCTTTCGCGTAACAAAATTCGATCGTTACTAAGGGACGTTTTCGAGGGTACCAGATTGGAGATCCTTAATCTCAGTCATAATAAATTCACCGTTGTACCCTCGTTGTCATTCTTAGAAGTCGGGTATACCTTGAGGGATCTTAATATGGCGGAGAACTTCCTGGATCATCTCGACTCGACCGCTTTTCCGACTTCTCAACTGGTGTCTCTAAATCTTGCGCAAAATCGTCTGACCATCCTGCCGGATAATTCATTCGTCTCCCTGGGAAAGTTGCTGAGCCTGAACGTGTCGCAGAATATTCTTCAGGCGAATTTTAAGGAGCTGTTTCATTACTTGCCGGATCTTAGACAACTTTATCTGGCTAATTGCGGTCTAAGAAGCGTACCGTTACTACCATTGACGAATTTAAATATCTTAGATTTATCTTTCAACAATATCGACGAGACTACCGACAAGCAGTTTCAGTATTTAGAAGCGTTGAAAATCCTTTTACTGATAAACAACTCATTGACATCGATGCCCAGTGTCAGATTGAGCATCTTGAGGGAACTCGACGTTTCCGGCAATCCTATCGAGGTAAGATTAAAATTAAAGTGACCAACAAAGTGTTCATTCTGAGAGCGAAAAGACTGGAAGTGTCAATCACGTGTTCTACGCTTTTACAGGAGCTGACAAAGGAGAGCTTTCTGGGTTATCCGAGATTAGAAAAATTGAACGTGAGAAATTTAAATCGAACCAGATCAGTGGATAAGGATTGTCTTCGGCCCTTGAGATACTTAAAGTATCTGCGAATACAAACGTGGCCGCAGGCCGACGGATTTCATCTACGCCATTTGCTGTCCGGCTTGCCGCTTCGAACGGTCGAAATACAAGTGACGGAGCATTTGCTGAAGCATCAGATACAAAACGCCTTTACGAAACAACTGAGAGAGCTGACGATCACCGGAAGCGATCTTGAGTTAATTTCCTCCGAGGCATTCTCCACTATCGAAGGCGGAGAATTGATTCTGAGAATCAAGGACACACACGTCCAAAGGCTACAGTCGGATATTTTTCTGTCGCTGACGAAGAGATTGTCGCAGCTTACTCTGGACCTAAGGAACAATCATATCAATGAATTGAGCCCGTCAATAATTTACGGAAATCTTTCGTGGGAGACAGTGGGGACCAACATGGTGGCTGGTGAGTTTATAATAAAAATAGCTCGATGTGTTCTAATAAAATAATAAAATTGTGCAGCGTTATACAATGCTTTCTTCAATTAATTATTAATTATTATTGAAGAACAATACTTTTTCTTTAGGTGGACTACAGGTATCCGGAAACCCACTCGAATGCGACTGCGAGATCGCATGGCTGAGTCTGTGGCTGCGCAGGTGGCTCAGAGAGTCCCGGCAGATTCACACAGCGTCACAATCCGATGCTAGACAGCTGAGAACCATTGCTGGCCGAGCAGTGTGCACGGAGACGACTCCGTCTTACTCCTCCGACAAGGTCCTGTTGACACTCGGCACTCCGCATACTGCCTGCCAGGCATCCGCTCTTAGTTCGGGAAATTACGAACGACTGGCAACAGCCTGGCTGGCTCTCGTCAAATTCTTCATCCTCGTTTTTATTGTTAATTAACTGCGAGTTTGTATTACTGACGAATTTTCATGAGCCTAGTCTTCAAAGTTTAATGTGATTTTTTATGTAAGATTATTAGCAAAAAAATAATTAAAAATAATTACAAAAAAATATCTCTTGTTATTATTTTCGCAGTGAAAGATGAAAGAAAGACGTAGAAAGTAGAAAGAATGTACTTCCGCTTATTCCGAGAGATTTATCTTTATTTACAAATTCAATTATCATGATTTCGCTTGTGCTTTATACAGATGGCGAGGGTAAAAAATATGCGAAAATGGGATAAAAATCCTTAAGAAGTGGAGAGACAAAGAAATGTAGACAATAAGATATTCGTGAGATATAATGGGATAAAAGAAATTCGTGGAGAGAAAACTCGTTGTTAATCGCGCGATGTACGTAATATACTTACTTTATTACTTGAGAATCGATGAATGTTTTTAATAATATTATTTTCCCTAGACTTTCGTCACGTTCTTATCTTACAGTTTCGCGAAAATTACGTTTTTCGCTTTATACGGGCGGCGCTGGCGTGTGCTGCAAACAGCCTTCGACATTCTCCGGCCAGTCGCAAACGTTCTCGTTGGGATTGAAGACCAGATTTACAGGACAGGGCATGTGATGCTTGCGCTCACCTTCGCACATATAGTACATCGTACAGTCATTCTTGTCCGCGTGATAAGATATATGATTGTCTTCCTCGTCACAGGTTACTTCATTTGCTGCAAAATTTATTTGAATAAATTATTTTGACTTAAATTAAATTAAATTAATTACATTAATTTTAAATCATTAATTATATTTCGCATAAGTTTGATCTATTTTAGAATTTAATATTTTATCATACCTATATTATTTTTACTTAATAAAAAGAATATTACTTTCTTTGCAATATATACGATACGTTGTGTAATATTGATTTACTTACGATCTTTAGTAGTATATTTTCCACTTCTCGAAGTACTTTCGTAAGGACCGTCATATTCTAGCTTGACTTTGTAGTCTTGCAATTCCTTCTTCATTGTTTTTATTAACGGATACTTTCCTGCTCCGCAAGATCCTTTGAAATCGTCCATGTCAACTGACCAGATCATGACGCCTCCAAAGCCTTCTTCCTTAAGCCAAGCCATCTGTAAAAAAATATCATTTAGGATTTAAAGAATGTGTAAATATAAAATGTGCATGACAGTTAGTACACAAAAAATAATGATATAGCTTAAACTGTGTACAATTATATTAAAAACACCAAAGAACTTTAAGATACAACCGCGTACTTTGTTAATAAGACTTCTCTCGTCGTCGAATCCAACCCATTGATCATCTCTGTATGCAAATGGTACTTGTTGCTCGCTATCCCATACTAAAGTCGTGTTATCTTCGTTCAAGAAACTGCAGACCTATATTTACATTTACAAAAGAAAGAAAATATATTTAATTTATTATAAGATAAGTTATATATTTATTTTACAATAAACCGCTGTATAATGGACATTCGGACATTAATAATTCTTTTAACTGATCAATAATAATAAATATATATTTCTCTATGTTATTTTAAAAATGTGAACACTAATTTTCTATAAATAATTTCATATAAATAAATGTTTGCTGAAAACAGAATCGATGCGATTTGAGCAGGAAGTATGTCATTGTACCTCGTAATAGGAAAGGAATCCGGACTCGTTGGTGAAATTACCCGCCACTCCACCACCAGACGCTGGTGCACCAATATCAAATTTGTCTTTGTCGACCAGCGTGAAGGATCTACCATACGTGGGCATTCCGATCATAAGCTTTTCCTTTGGCGCTCCTTGCTTCACCCACTCTCGCGCACTATAATCCTAAGACCAAAGTAAAACAAATTAAAATTTGATATTCTATAGTACGTATATAATAATAGTACAAATTAGGATTTTAATTTGCAAGCAAATTCTGCATCTCAGAACTAACACATAATTTCACTATGATTTCCATATATTTACCACTGTCAGCTTTTTCTGATAACTGGTGGTACTTTCCAAAGGATACAATGGACTATTATGGCCAACTTGTCTCTCCCACTGACCATGAAAATCATAAGCCATCACATTGATAAAGTCTAGGTATTTAGATATTTCAGGAACGTCGTACCTAGAAAAAAAATTTTTTTTATTTAAACATTTTTACATTACAAACAAAATCATGAAAATTTTACGATAAAATTACTTCAATCCTTAAATTTACAAGATATTATGTTACGTTTCTTTGTGTCGCATTTATTTAAATTTGTATTAATTAATTACAACATCTATATTTACCCTGCAGCAATGGCTTCAAAACTAGCGGGCACTGCGGCTGACAGGATTAATTTCGGCTGGTCGGAGCTCTTCGCTTCGCCCTCGAAAGCCAGCCTAAGCTCCTTTAAAAGATTAACGTAGGCCGCTCGATCGTCGGCTCCTCTGCAAAAATATGATCAAAGATTGCAATATACATTTTTAATAAAATAGAAAATACTTCAAGTAAAAGAAACCTTGGATATTCCCAGTCAACATCCAATCCGTCGAATTTGTATTCCCGCAAAAAATCGATAGCCTCATAAACAAATTGGTTCATTCGGAAGGTATTACTGGTAAGTTCTTTAAACGGCGTCGAGCCGAATGCCCATCCTCCGATTGCGAGTAGAATCTGAAAATATTAATGCAAAATATAAGCGATCACGTCCAATTTCAATAATCTGCTTCTTCGAAATTATGCATTATAATAATTACATAACGGTAGAAAATATCGGATACAATTTATAAAAAGTTTTCGGCAAGTACTTTAATATCTGGATTCTTGTCGCGGAGCGCAATCAGTCTGCGGTACATTTCAGCATCTTTGTCACTTCCTTCGGTAAGTAGATGATCCTTCAAAGTAGCAAACGCGTATACCACGTGAGTGCAGAGAGTCGGGTCAATGTCTTCCGGATTGAATCGTCCCATTCCCGGCCTTTTATGCGACCAATTTGTTACATAACAAATGGTCTGCGCTTCTCTCTCTGTTAAATGTGGAAGAAAACTTTCACTACGGCTTAATCAATCTCTGGTTACAGTAATTAGTGGCAGATTTTTTATCATAAAATAAATTAAAAAGCCAGAAATAAATAAGAAACTCAAAAAATACTTGTTGCATCGAGAAAGATTTTACGCGCTAAATATAATATTTTGATTTCAGTAATTAATATTCGAAAAATTACCATGAGTCGGCGTATTGATGACAAGTGTTGTAGACTTCTGAAGTTTTTTCGACTTGCTGAGGACCTCCGAAACGGAAATCTTGTAAGGCTCCGGCTTCTTCACGATCGTTTCTGTGATGGTGGTGGCAACCGCAGTCCAGTCGACATCCTTGGCACTGGAACCTCGCGAGATACCTCTCAGCTCCTCCCTCATCGCGCCAATTAGCGGATATCGAACGTTTCCGCCACAAACGGTGCCGTTAAAGTCGTCCATGTCCACCGTCCATACCATTGCGCCTCCGTAACCCTTGCTCTTTAGCCAGTGCATTTTATTCCTGATGGACTTCTCGTCGTCGAAGCCGACCCATTGATCGTTGTGCACTAGATAAGGCACTTTCATCTCGTCGTCCCAAACATAAGCTGCGCCGTTATGCAACATTTCGCAAATCTAAAATTGATAAATTTGATTTCAGACTATAAAACATTATATTGTTTAAAAGATTATTTTTTTTATTTTATATAAATTTTTATTATTATTATTGTATTTCTTATAATTGAGCAACGCAATGGACATTATTATACGCTTGATAAAATAATCAGACAATGTTAGCACCTTAAAATTTATTTTATTATGTTTATAGAAGATTAAATAAAGAAAATAACATTTAAATTGGGAAAATGTAATAAAAATTAATAAATTCTTGACAAACTCTATCTAGGTTCCAATTCGTTTACTATAAACGCGAGATGAGAAAGTACCTCGTAATACGCGAGAAAGCCAGATTCCTTCGTGTATTCGCCCGCTTTTCCACCACCATTAGCCGGAGCGTGTACGCGGAAATTGGCGGTATTTGAAAGAGTGAAGGACCGGCCGTACGTCGGCATGCCTATGATCAATTTTTCTTTCGGTGCGCCCATCTTGACCCACATGGTGGCCGCGTTGTCGACACTTAATTGTTTCTGCCATTCCGAGTCTAATGACGAGGAGTACAACGGGGCGTTGTGACCGGTTTCTCTCTCCCATTTTCCGTGGAAGTCGTAGGCCATGAGATTAATGAAATCCAGGTAACTAGATGAAAAAATGCACTTTCAATCCGAGATATTTCTACATATTGCGATAAAGATATGATAAATGCAAATCAGGATAAACAGGTTAAGTAAAATTGAGAACAGGATATTGTAAAACTGTAAATGAAATGTTACTTATCAAAACAATTGCCATTGGCTTTAAATTTTTTTTTTCATATATACATACTCATCAAAAAATTCTTTCGCTACTGTACCTGGCAACAGCAGGCACATCATAACCGCTCTTAACGTTGTCAGGTCCAACCGGTACCGCAGCGGTTAAGAGGAGACGCGGTTTCTTCCTCTCCTGCGCCTCCGCCTCGAAAGCCTCTCGGAGCTCTGCGAGAAAGCGATGAAAAATGGATTCAAGTTGCAATGTGACGGTTACTCGTGACGGAACGCTGTGCACAACGAGTGGAAATGTCAACTGTTCCATGTGCCACGCTTTATATTAAACTCAATATGATTCTGTAGAGTAAGACAACAAGTAATAATCTTATCAAGGTCGTAATCTCTGGCTCGCGTCTGACATTTCCAGTCTCGAAGAATTCGCGTGGTTGTTGCCCTTTTCGAGGCAAGGCAAGTATTTACCCTTAAGCAGCAAAACGTAGTTTTTCTTGTCGTCCCCACCCTTCGGGTATTCCCAGTCGATGTCAAGGCCATCGAAGTTCCTGTCCCGCAAGTACGGTATAGCGCTGTAGATGAAGGTCTGCCGGGCGTATCTCGTCGAGGATACATCCTTGAACTTCTGCGTGCCGAAGGACCAACCACCTGAAGACAAAACGGTAGAATTCATTTTATTCGACCATTTGGTAAAAAAAATCGACGCATAATTCTGCATTCATGAAAGTGGGTTTACGAAATATTAATTTATAAAATGTAAAACATGAATTTTCTTAAATAAGTTATTTTTGTATTATTATTATTATTTTTTATCTCTTCATCAGCATATGCAAAGTTTCATTGGATGGAGAGGCTTGATTAGAATGCGTCGATTTTTTCGTCAAACTGTACTGTTGAAGATCGTCATCGTGAAGTTAATGCGAAGTGATTATGCATAATTTAGCTGTAATCAGAATTTATGATCTTCGAGAAAGCGATACAAAGCGGAATTGAAAAACGTACCGATGGCAAGCAGAATCTTCAAAGACGGGTTGGCTTTTTTGAGATTTACCACCCTCTCGTACAGGCCGATCTTGCCGTCCTTCGTTTCATCGTTCGACTCGAAACTGGTCAGTTTGTTCTTCTTTAGCCATCCGAAGGCGAAGACAATGTGGGTGCAGAGGTCAGGTTGAATGTCCTCCGGCATGAACTTGCCGGTCTTCGTGCGATACTGAGACCAATTGCTATAATAGCATACGAGCTGTGATAAAGAAAATGGAAAATTAATGCGGGAGAAATTGTACAGGATGTAGCTATAATATAACATGTATGTACAAGATAACAATGTTAAATTACGGAGAGGTATCTCGTTAATTCGAGAAAGTCGACTCGGATTATTAAACAAATCATCTCGAGCTACACAGCTTGAAGAAATGTCACGGCAAAAGATTGAACGATAACAATTTACCATTCTTTACGCAGATAAACCATGACGCAAGCGTCCGGTTGAACAATCTCAAGATTCATTCTCTTGTTAATTTGGAAAAAAACGTAATTAGCTCGCAGATAATGTAGAGATGGCCATTAACGAAATAAATCGCGTACGTTCGGATAACATCATCATCATCATTATCATCATCAACGCATAGATCTAAGCGAACGTTGTTGCACCTACCTTATAGTCGTTTGTCTTGCCAGGCTGAAGTTCGTTCTTCGTGCTCTTGTTGCTGACACGATTCCGCGTAACCTTGAACCTGTTGACACTGGCTGAGACCTCCTGATCGTTCGAGATCGACGGCGCGGAAGTCGTCGGCCTGCGGAATCTCTTTCTCGCACCTAATGACACGCACACACACGCAGCATGTACACAATCGCCGGATAAATTACGTAAAATCGCGTCGATTCTTCCTTCAGCGATTACACAATGCGTGCACGAATATGTGTTTCAGCATTGCATAAGATTTCGCGCTTACATACAATATGGAACTTTGAAAGGCGAGCGCCTTTCACCCGTTAGAATCGGTCGCTCCAAAACCATTTTGCATGACGCAATGACAACGAGAAAGGACCCTTTTGCGCGTTTTGGGATATACTGTTTAATGCGGGCTTGGGCAAACGGAAAGGCTACATTTTCTCGGGCAGGTGGAGCACATTTGTGGAATCGTTCTCCACCTGCGCCCGTTCCACTCTCGTCGAGAGATCGGCGAAAAATTTATATAATCGATTGTGGAGAAATTATTAACTGCTATACCCGCTCCGGAGTACAAGATTCTGATGTAATGCGACTGTGAAACAACGCATTACGTTATTGATCAATCATCAGTAATCGATCGATAATGAGTCATTAGCGGAGTATTTAACAATGATTTCCGATGCCCTCCCGCTTCGTCAAGGTACAAATTTACGGCTGTTTACGGTTAATAATTTCTAATGGTCGTCACGATTTCCAGAGTGATCGTTATAGAAGTAGATACCGTCTGGAATGCAGAAATTATAGACTACCTTCGGCGTGCTGGAGAAGGCCTAGAAGTAATACCGCGAAACAGACGAGCAGCAGCCTCCAGGTAGTTCTGCTGGTCGGTACCTGAAAAGAAAGTGAAGGTGGAGATAGCACAATAACAGGTGAGTTCAATGAGAGTTTGATCCGCTGTCGCATGTCACTTTCATTCCGTCAAGAATCTTCGTCAAAAACCAGGTAGACATATCTATTTTTAATCTTGTTTTATTATAACACATGTACGTTTAAATTAAACAAGAATCATCTTTCTCTAGATACTTTATCCATAAGAATAGTCATAGATTATAAAACATTGTGATTTATAAAAACAATTTATACAAATAAATGCAACGACTTAAGGCGGTATTCGCTATAATCCTCTTCAACGCAATACATCTCTATATATTACATAATACTTTTAATATCTTTTAATTGTTAATAAAAATATTTTTAGATTTGCAAAATAACAGTAGATTTCTTAATTTCTTCGTTTTATTTTTGCTGCTTGTTGTTAATATATTTAAGAATTTTAAAAAAATTTTTCTAATTCTTCTCTCTTGCACATAATCAAGCACAATCAAAGGCCCAAGATACGATTCTCCAGTTGCAAATATTATTCGCGTATTTGCATATTGAAAATTTAGAATATTGTATTTGTTTGTTAATATCTGCGATACCTGACAAAGGCAACGGCGAAAGTCATTTGCGGTTCCGATAATCAATTACGAAGTAATCACGAATTGTTCTACAATAGCGACAACAAGAATTATCAGCTTTCCTCTTGGAGTCGAATGAATTGGTAATCGAAGGCAGTGGTGTAGGAGTTTAATGTATTGATTGTAAACTTACCACTCTTTTCCTCTCGGATACTTGGATAATTCCACATTACGACATAATTGAAAGTACTAGATTTTAATAAGAGAACGTCGAAAATATATTTCATTATTGCTCTTGTATTTTCGAACTTTTTATATTTTCCAAATTTCATATTATTTATGAAACGTTTCTTCACAAGTTTTATGCAAGATAAATTGACTAATTCAAAATTTAGAAATTTTGGAAATAATTTGCATAATTGTTATTACAAACAAAACTACGAAATATTTGTTGCATAATATTTTAGATATTCGCGTTAAAATCAATTAATTATTAACAGTATTTAAGTCTTTTGTAGTTTACCTAGGTTTTACCATTTGTGAAAAAATTACGAAGTGTTTATTGCGCGTATTATAATAATTATTTCCATCGCACGATCATTAATTGTAAGACAATGCGGATTGTTCATACGCTAATCGTGTTTTCACTTCTGGCTCGCGTGAGATCGAGATGGAAATCACGCTCCATCGCGTTTTCTCATAGAATAGATCCGCAGAGGGATAAAATACCGAGGAGCTCGTTGGCCTCGCTCGTTTTAATTATTATTGCAAACGGCAAGAAAGCAGCGTATCAAGCCGATTTTTTTCGAGGCCACGGCCGACCAGAATTTTGCGACAAGCGGATTTTTAGCGTCCATCCGATCTGTATTCTAGCCATAAGTCTGGAAAGTTTTCAACTTCATGAACCTCGACGGAATTGTGGAGATTGTTGAATATCATTATGCGACATAGGCTTAATGATATTCAGCGCGGTGCGCGATTCCCCACTTTTATATCAGATCGAGCCGCTCCCTCGGCTCTTCGTGCGCGGCCCGATGCCGATGAAGTGAAACTTCTTTCCTGCATTCTGCGAAGCGGCCGTTCCACTTGACGTTTCGTTTATGAATAGTGATTTTATTGGAATTGGAGAGGCTTTTGCAACATTTACGCCGCCTGTAAATAATCCTCGGAGTACTTATTAAAACAATTTTAATTTGTATGGCAATAATAAAAAGATAACGCAATTAGGTCTTCAACCATTCTGCTCCGATTTCACTTTACTAAATTATTGGCACACACTTTGGCACATTTTAATAAAGAAAAAAAAAATTAAGAATTTATTACAGAATCTCTTATTAAAATTGCATAGTCGCAAGTTCCATTCTACAGAGACAATCTGTATATATCTCATACGTGTTTCTTAGTATCATTTATCTTCCATAAATGCCGTCGCAAACGCGAAAGAGCAAGAGAACCTGCGCTCTACATTCGCATTATTCTCGCTTTATTCCGTCGTCGTATGCTGCACAATGGCACCATCGAACGAAAAATTACCCGTGCCCGCCCCCTTTCTCATTTTTTTTCACTTCATTGCTCATTGTCAGCCTACACATTATCGTCGAGCATCGCAAAACGAGCGCTCGGCTATTTTAACGTGGGAGCGACTCCACGTTATACTTCTGAGTCCGACGACTCTGTCATTAGCTCGGTTATTAATTAATCAGATGCGCGACATGGGGATTAACATCGCGCGTCTAGAAGGAAGCTCTCAGGAAGAGGTGTCCCCCGCTCGCGGAACGTGTCATTTGCATACAAACGTGCGGCTCGTGCGCGCGAATCTCATGTACAACGGCGTTGCAGCGCTCTCTCGCCGCTGCATCGTCGTCGGCGGCTGGCCTGCACGCGCGGAGAGAGCGCGAGATTTCTATGTCGGACTTTTAGAACGAACGCACGGCCGCTATTGCCACGGTGCACGACTCCCTCGTGTTATATAGCCACTCAAGTATCCGTGACTTGGCAGGACGATAATTTCCAGCGTTCCCCTTACTCGCTCGTCCCCACCGCGCGCTCGCAATACGCCGACGGATGCGAATCTATTCGACGTAAATCTTAACGGATAATGCTCGAGATATTTTAACCATGATATTGCGTATGTATTTGGTCTTTTCCTGACAGATTAAGTAACGCAAACACAGCAATTATGAGATTTTTATTAAATTTCTACCGAACACGACATATGTTGAATATGATCGTGATTCGTAAATTATGCAACTGATCGCAATAACGCAAGGAAGGATTCTAAATGAAATAAGTTTTCAGTTCACTCGGTCTTCACATCAGTACGCATATCTATTCTAAAGGTAATCAATTTAACACTTTACTTTTGACACGAAGAATTCCCTTCTCTTTTAACGCAACAGTCGGCGTAAAAACACAGTTTTATAGCACAGTTTTATACTCTTTAAATAAGACGAATACTATTGCATATCTGTTTGGTTGCTTTATTATTACATAATATACAGCAATATTTTATCGTTCGTAAATATTTTGAAATCTTTCTACGTCTCTTCACCAACTCCGGTTTTTACAATAATGTTAACTCATTAAATATCCAGATATTTTAATCAATCGTAAGGCAAGCAATCACATTCAATTCAAGAAATCGCGTTTCAGTGTCATCTCATCACGGACGATCGAATCTTTCTATTTTTCTGATAATGTTTATTTCTTATAAAATGCTCAATGGTAGTAAAAGTTTCAGGCAGAATGCAGATGTGCACTTAATCCAACCGCAATTTGTTTGCGATATTATAATCTTTAAAAAATCCTAATAAATGAAAAGCAGCAATTAAAAAGAGTTTATGCAAATTAAATGCACGGGATGATTTAAAAATTAAGGACAATTACTGTAAAAAAATATCTACGTGCTCTTTTAAAGAGCGCGCTCTTTTAAATAGCTGTTGGCATGTTTTAATCTATTATGCCTCTGTTTGTACAACTATACGTTTGCAGATACAAAATCAAATTTTTATGGCAAAGTAAGATCGGTATAATTCTGTTTTGAATACCATAAATGCTCAAAAATAATGATAATTGTTCGCGACAATAGAACGCGATGATTCGCGTAAACTTTCATATCTACACAGAACTAAACTCACCGAGATTATACTGGTTTTAATATCTGTTATTTCTTTGATTAGTATCTGAAATCGTTGTGAAAACCAGCGAGGTTCACATTACGTCGCGAATCGACCCCGTTCCGTCTGGTTTCGTTTGAGATTTGATGCACTGATGACTGTATGCAGGATGCAGGCGAGTCCTGTTGGTCGATTTTGCGGCAGATTCTAGATCAGCGGGGCCGTCCATCCGTGAAAATTTCACTGACGTACTTCGCTTCTCCGCGAACGTACGTATATATACGCGGAGTTCGGGCTTTTCGAAAGTTATCCGTCGTAAAGGTACGCGCCCGTCTAATTGTTGATTCACCGCCAACGAGAGAAATCGATTCTCAACGTCGTCTATTAAGGGGGAAATGCAATTATGCTGACGATTATGTACGCTGCCGGTATCGGTCACAATGCGCGTTTTCCCTTTTGCCTACCTCGCGACAACGACAAACTCGCGTGTAATCGCCGTCGCCATTATTTCACACAGTACGTTTTACATTTGTTGTTTTCATCGTGACATGGCACGTATTTATAATTAATTAAGCATTCAGAAATATTATATGTTAAACGATCAATAACTTCATGATAACAATTTGTAGTGTAAATGAGAGAAAACTTCAATTATAATTAGCAATTATCAAACATGACGTATCTATTAAGTCTTATTATTATAAACGTCGTGTATTTATTAACATAAATTAAACGTCTGGTCAGCGACTGGTGTAATAAGATTTATCATGTTTAAATTAGATTATCTAAAATTCAGTGCGTGAATCATACGATCTTACGCACAATAGTGGAAGCAAAGTATTGCGAGATGCACGAATCCATTCCTACCGGTTTGTATCGTGCTAATGTAAGCTTTCTTTTCGACCGTGCCATGTTACCTCGTTACATTTACCTGGTTTACACTTGAGCGCTCTCATTCAGTCTGCCTTCAGATAATTTCATTGCCCTTAAAGATTTTATTGTTGATACAACTCACTTCACCTCATTCGAAGTTCTCAGTATTTTTAATTAAAATTAAAAAAAAATTTACTTCTTTAAAACAAAATCTTTCTATTTTATGAATCAAATGTTATTTTTCTTGTATCTTACAGTTTCTACGATGCAATTCAAATATCTTTTAATGTTGCATATTTCATATAATAACAACAACAAATTTCTCCCGTAATAGTGACTTTCTGTTACATTTTCCGATTAATATTGTTCCGCAGCGTCAAGCTTTCTTATTTCTGCTCGAATTCCGGAACGTTCCGAGCGCATTCCTTATTGAATTACTGTC